TTGCGTTCACATATTATTTATGTATGTTCAAGTGAGTGAGTGAGTGAGTTTAGTTTTACGCCGCTTTTAGCAATATTCCAGCAATATCACGGCGGGGAACATCAGAATGGGCGTCACACATTGTACCCATGTGGGGAATGGAGCTCTGGTGTTCGGCGTGACGAGCGGACCCTTTAACAACTAGGCTACCCCACCACCCCATTACGTGTTCAAACCTCAAGGAATATTTGTATATTCTACTAAAAAAAATATTTTACTGGGACCAAGGCAGAAATACCCGGCAGTGCACCATGCTTATCTGAAACAACGTTTTTATCAAACTGCCAAGAAAAAGAAATGATACACCCATGTTCAAAAGTTTGGCTAGACTTGAGACAAAGAAGACATGGTTAACGATGATGTATTGATATGGACAACATAGTTGTGTTTTAGATCTTAGATTAGAATCGTTTCAGAGACTGTTGTCATCCTCGTAACGTTTGGATGGCGTTTGTAATTGTTTTGTCTATCAAATTTTCAAATGTGTACTTTCTTTTGTCCGCCCGTGTACTTGGGTGCAGAACAGTGATGTCATTCTGTGTATATGTTACAATCAATGTGTAAAATCAGGCAATTTGTAAAATTGGAAGAATTAGTCGATTTATTTGAGAGATTGACTGAAACATGTTTCAGTGTGTGTTATCATTAATAGTGTATAAAAACTTAACTTTCAGAGAAAAACCTAAGACACAGACATTCACGGGACATCTTTATTGACATAAAACATATACACTCAGACTTATGGAAGTAAAAGAATAATTCTCGAAAAGGGTCACCCTTTTTAAGTTTTTCAAGGAAAGTTGAACTCCACATAAGAACACAACAGAGTGAGTGTGGTTTAACGCCGAGTCAGCGATATTTAGCTGTAACATGACTGCCTGTTACTAATCTAATGTTTGGGGGGGAAGAGGAGGGGAAGGGGCGTTGATAGAAACAATACTGTAGCTATATGGTCTCTACTGTCAACAATACTGTAGCTTTATCGTGTCTACTGTCAACAATACTGTAGCTATATTTCCCTACTGTCCATATACTGTAGCTATGTAGTGTCTACTGTCAACAATAATGTTGCTATGTGGTCTCTACTGTCAACAATACTGTAGCTATATGGTCTCTACTGTCAACAATACTGTAGCTATATGGTCTCTACTGTCAACAATACTGTAGCTATATGGTCTCTACTGTCAACAATACTGTAGCTATATGGTCTCTACTGTCAACAATACTGTAGCTATATGGTCCCTACTGTCAACAATACTGTAGCTATATGGTCTCTACTGTCAACAATACTGTAGCTATATGATCTCTACTGTCAACAATACTGTAGCTATATAGTCTCTATTGTCAACAATACTGTAGCTATATGGTCTCTACTGTCAACAATACTGTACCTACTAGGTCTCTACTGTCAACAATACTGTAGCTATGTAGTGTCTACTGTCAACAATACTGTAGCTATGTAGTGTCTACTGTCAACAATAATGATGTTATATGGCCTCTACTGTCAACAATACTGTAGCTACATGGTCCCTACTGTCAACAATACTGTAGCTATATGGTCTCTACTGTCAACAATACTGTAGCTACATGGTCTCTACTGTCAACAGTACTGTAGCTATATGGTCTCTACTGTCAACAATACTGTAGCTATATGGTCTCTACTGTCAACAATGCTGTAGCTAAATGGTCTCTACTGTCAATAATACTGTAGCTATATGGTCTCTAGTGTCAACAATACTGTAGCTATATGGTCTCTACTCTCAACAATACTCTAGCTATATGGTTGAGAGCCAGGGTGCCTGGATTTCAGAGGAAATTCCGTTTGATACAGGTTGAGAGAGACTGGTCTGAGAGCCAGGGGACCCGACGTCGGGACTGTACGTGCTACGTCGTCGCCATAGCGCTCAACGTCTCGTTAACTAAAATTATCCACTTGGTTGTATAGACATGACCTTTTTCTAAACTGATGTTAATGTTTCTGCACTAAAGTCTTTTTGTGAACGAGTTATGGATGTTTGAAAATACAACATTGGCAATGTTTAAGTAATGCTGGCCTGTTATTCCAGTGATTGACAGCATGACAATTGATAATTGGAATACAAATGACATTCTTCAGCAATCTTCACCTACCCACCCAGTAAGTCGCTTTCTCTTAATGAAACTACCCGTGAAGATCCGGGTTAGAATGGATCTTCATTAACCCATACTTGTCGTAAGAGGCGACTAACGGGATCGAGTGGTCAGGCTCGCTGACTTGGTTGACACATGTCATCGGTTCATAATTGCGCAGATCGATGCTCATGCTGTTGATAACTGGATTTTCTGGTCCAAACTCGATTATTTACAGACCGCCGCCATATGGCTGGAATATTGCTGAGTGCGGCGTAAAACTGAAGTCACTCACTCTTAATCAAACAGTAGAAGCGGGCTTCTGCCAAGTACTACCATCTTCAAGTAGTGTTTCGGATGCCATTCTTAAGACTGTACGCTCCTATAACCATTCTACATGGGTACGACTTGGCACCTTCCCGCCTGTCCCCGTCAGTCAGTCTTGTAGTAGAGGGGTTCTGAAGGTAGTACAATTTCAGGGAGTTATTAGTCCACAGAACGATTAAATACAAATTTATATATTTCATGACTGATATGGGATACCGAGTGAGACTTTGCTTAAATGACCAACGCTAATATAAGATTGGAGGGACATAAAGATGCGCACATAAAATCTCCATGTCTTGGCCAGGAACTCCCTGACTTGTGGTTCCAAACATTTTATTTTTTTTGTCATTAGTGAGTGAGTGAGTGAGTTTAGTTTTACGTCGCAATCAGTAATATTCCAGCTACATGGCGGCGGTCTGTAAATATTTTTTGTCATTAAGCAAGCTCAGTGTAGTATATGGTCCGAAACGTCGCCATTATTGTTGCACGTATAAAAGTAATTCAGTCTAAGTAAACTTAGGCTCAGTATTATTCGTTATACTGCTATACATAGCAGTGTCAACATAGCAGTGTAACGAATAATACTGAACCTAAGTTTACTTTGACTGATGAGAACGTATGACAGACACTACCAATGACCGTCATCATAACGGACCAAATGAACTCTTTCCTCATTATAACACTGAAAGATCAATTTATTTTACACAGTAGGTACAATGGATAAAAATATTTCAACTAATTGACGATATTTAATGAATATGGTTGTTAAGTTCCATGTTTCGTGTGTACGGTGCCCTGCCAATAGAGAGCTGACAAGAAATAGTAACGGACATATCGCTGTTGTAAATGAGGCTTGTCTCATTGTCCACATTTCGCACGACAACTCGCGTGTTTCGAAACTGCTTAAATATCGTTTTCCTTTACTCAAAGTAGCAAATGTCATTATTCTAGTGACGTAAACCTTGATATAATATTGATAAAAATGCCGATAAAAAAATCTCCGTTTCCTATAGTAAACAATGGTGGGTCGCCATGTATGTTTCATCAACAGTGACCGCCATTGTGCAGTCACTGCTCAGGCCGGAGAAGCGTCAGCGCAGCAAACCCATGGAACCAGGTTGGTCTAATACTCTAGACACATACATGTAACTATTCTGATATAACTGTCGAACATTTGAGATTGCAGATGTTAACGAAAAGTCAATGCTGAGCCGCTCCTGACAGTGCTTGAACGAGTAGCACTGTGTGGCGTTGTTCTTTCGTAAATGTTGTATCAATTGGTTGTGGACATGTTTGGTATATAAATAGTATTTAGTTCCACTTTATAATAATTGGTTGCAGTGATGCATGGTTTATGTATAGTTTAAGAGGATCAGGGCGTGTGTGTATCCACCTGTCATGCTATCATGATCAATAATATCTCTCGGGCCAAATATACTGACGACCAAAAGAAACGTCACCACAGTTTTAAACCGTGCTAGTTTAAAAGCCACAATCACATTCTACATAAAATATTGTTGTGTTTGAATGATGTGTTTTTCAATGATTCGGTTTGAACTAGTGTGGGCTTTAGGGGTGGTTTTTGTTTTGTTTTTTTGTTTTTTGTTGTTTTTTTTTTTTTTTTTGGGGTTGTTGTTCTTTAAATGCATTTTCGTCTTTTCTTTGGCAATCAATTTATATTTACACATCAAATTTTGTATTCTGTGAGTGATAGTTTTCATTATGCTTCACAGGTACATGAGTACGAAGGACGACTGTAAGTAGGTAGATACAGGGAAGTGTCAGAGTAACTTTCCTCCCCTTATTACTAAGGATCTTGATTGTCTGGTTTGTTTACAGGCAGCTGTCGCATGGCTGGAGTAATGGTTACCCTGGTTACCCTTTTCGCGGACACCTGGTATCGTCACTTAATTTCAGCGGTCCATTCATACGATTTTCACAGCTTATGCTATTTACATCAAACTGAATCTATATCTTAGGATAGCCAAGACCGTGTATTATTTGGACGTTTTGTGTTTAAGGAATGAGATCTTTACAACATGGAGTATAGGTATAATAGAAACTTGAACCAGGATATATACTTGTATCTGTTTGTTTGTTTCGAGTTGTTTTTCCACAAAATTAAAACCACAAACTTGTCAAAATATAAACAGAGAGTTCCGTCTATTCAAGGAGTAAGCAACTGATATATTGCTTCAAGATCAGTAATAAATGACTGCTATCTGTCAATTCCTGAGAAGTAATCATACAATTGGGCGTTTCGACCCAAAAAAGACGTCACATATTTCTTGTAATGAACTGGCATGTTCTTCATGTTAATCAACGTTGCTGTGTTGTTTCTGGTCAAGGTAACATTTCCACACCAGAGCAACTGTACCAGGTGACTCATTTTCATTAATCTATATAACATGATAGCACAAGCCATCATCTACATTATATTAACATTTCCAGGGTATAAACATATTTAAGTCACAACGAACGTGATCAGGATCTGAACAGTGTAGTTAAACCCATTCATCGTTACTGGGGACATAATGTCTCCATCTCTGTCGAGGACACGTACACTCGACTGCCTGAAACTGGTCACATGAAATGCGGTGGCATAAACACTGCGCGGAGTATGTTTAGTCTTGGCGTTGCGTCTGTTTCTTGATAAGCATGGCTGGTTCTCTGCGCAAATCCGGAACATTTTTAAAATTTCCTCACCAGACAGGCGTGTTCTCTCTTCGCTGTGTTACCAGTCCATCACGATGGGCATCTACCAAAGTGGGAATGGCGTCACACATTCACCGGCAATCTGCGAACCCGGGCCTTGGGCGGATCACGGCGCCAGCAGCAGCTACGCAGCATGACAAAGTATCGATGTTTTTTGGGGACCCATGTGTGTTGTTCAAACACAAAACAACATGGGAGTTGTTTCGTGCGCTGGTTGTTTTTAAGCTGTGCTCCTGGGACCGTCTTGTGGATCACTCGGTGACGGTATGTTGGCGTCCCTGAACGACTTTATCATTGTTATGATGTACGAAAACACTTGGTGTCAATATTGACTTTCATCCAGTTCACTCGCTGTAATGGAGTGAGTGAGTGAGTTTAGTTTAGAATTGATTTTCAGTTACCCATGCTTGTCGTAAGAGGTGACTAACCGGATCTGGTGATCAGGCTCGCTGACTTGGCGGACATCTTATCCCAAATGCGCAGATCGATGCTCGTGCTGTTGATCACTGGATTGTCTGGTCCAGACTCGATTATTTACATACCGCTGCCATAAAGCTGGAATATTGCTACGTGCGGCGTATATCTAAACGCACTCACCCAAACACGCATCCTTTGCTAGAATAAATGGTGGTACGGTAGCCTTGTAGTGAAAGTCTGGGATTGGCACGCCGAAGGTCCGGGTTCCATCCCTCGCATGGGTTCAGTGGGTTTACTCCTGCCACATCACTGTGGGGAATTAGTGGTTAAAGCGTTGGCTCGTCACGCCGAAGAACCGGGTTCGATTCCCCACATGGGCTCAATGTGTGAAGCCCATTTCTGGTGTACCCCGCCGTGATATAGCTGGAATATTGCTAAAAGCGGCGTAAAACCCAACTCACTCACTCACACACACACTCACTCATTCACACACTCACTCCTTCACTCACTCACTCAGTGGACATAAATCACTCATTCAGGCAGGAATTCACTGGTCCATCTGACTTTGCATTTCATCCTGTAAAACTAACCATGTGTAACTATGTAGTATGTGCCAATATACAAACTCCAGGGAAATTATATATCTACAATAACATGCTTCAAGTCTGAGCCTTATCTGCTGATTTCGAAATTGAATCTATTGTCCCATTGGTACCTCATTGATTCTACCTCGGCAATCGAAAGATTCGAGTTATTTAACACTTGTTGATGTTTAGTTTGTATATTGTTTGACGGCGCACTCAGCAATATTCCTCCTGTGTGGCGGCGGTTTGTAAGTGAGCGAGTCTGGACGAGGCAGGGGGACGCAACTCTGGGTCACCAGTTATGTGCTCTATGAGGGCAAACATTGCCAGATTTATGGGCCACAGAGACATTGGACTGACATACCAGTTAAATCTGGTTACAGCTACTCTGAATTAGATTCAGAACACGCAGAACGGCGTTAAGGAGTAGACACGCACGGACTTAGACTAATGCTTAGTCTCTGAATTTATATAATTTTGATAGTAACAAACAAGCCCATTTAAATTGAAAAGGAGCCCAAGGGAGACCAGAGATTCAGAACCTGAGGAAATCTAGACTTGCTTTATTTAGGGCTTTAGCACTGCAGAGAGATCTTGGCAGTAGAGAAAATAATGTGGTTCAGGGACTGTGAGACAGACTAACACGGACTGTATAAATCTGCCTGCACCACCTACTCATTACGTGATTTGAAACTTGAGTCCCTGTCACCGACATGCTTCCTCTAAATAACCTGTAGTTCATAATTCACAGACGTCGTTCAGCGGGTTGGCACTCGAGGTTGCTGTTCACGTGAGAAATAAAAGAGGCTTTACGACATCTTTAGCAATATATTTTTTGTATTGTAAACACGAGCTGAATATACCTGTGAAGATCCGGGTTAGAGGTGATCCTCAGCAACGCTTGTTTGTCGTAAGAGGCGGTCAGACTCGCTGACTTGGTTGATGCATGTCATCGAATCCCAGTTGCGAGGATCGATGCTCATTATGTCAATCACTGGTTCGTCTTGTCCATGAATCTCCATGATAAATATCTAGGGTCACGTTTTACACAGCGATCTCACGGCTAAGGCGACTTGCTCTCTTACTCACGATAGTAGTATGCACGTACGCGGTGACAAGTGATCGCGTCACCACCTCTCCGGTGAGTGATTTGACGTGTGCAAGAGAGTGGTGACGTGTGCAGGAGAGCGGAGACACGTGCAGGAGAGTGGTGACGTGTGCAGGAGAGCGGAGACGCGTGCAAGAGAGTGGTGACGTGTGCAGGTGAGTGGGGATATGTGCAGGAGAGTGGTGACGTGTGTCGGAGCGTGGTGACGTGTGCAGGAGTGGTGACGTGTGCAGGGGAGCGGTGACGTGTGCAGGTAAGTGGTGACTTGTACAGGAGAGCGGTGACGTGTGCAGGTGAGTGCTGACGTGTACAGAAGAGCGGTCACGTGTGCAGGTGAGTGGTGACTTGTACAGGGGAGCGGTGACGTGTGCAGGTAAGTGGTGACGTGTAGAGAAGAGCGGTCACGTGTGCAGGTGAGTGGTGACTTGTACAGGGGAGCGGTGACGTGTGCAGGTGAGTGCTGACGTGTAGAGAAGAGCGGTCACGTGTGCAGGTGAGTGCTGACGTGTAGAGAAGAGCGGTCACGTGTGCAGGTGAGTGCTGACGTGTAGAGAAGAGCGGTCACGTGTACAGGTGAGTGCTGACGTGTACAGAAGATCGGTCACGTGTGCAGGTGAGTGCTGACGTGTAGAGAAGAGCGGTCACGTGTGCAGGTGAGTGCTGACGTGTAGAGAAGAGCGGTCACGTGTGCAGGTGAGTGCTGACGTGTAGAGAAGAGCGGTCACGTGTGCAGGTGAGTGGTGACTTGTACAGGAGCGTGGTGACGTGTAGAGGAGAGTGTCGACGTGTGCAAGTGAGTGGTGACGTATGCAGTTGAGTGGTGACGTGTACAGGAGAATGGTGACTTGTACAGGAGAATGGTGACGTGTAGAGGAGAGTGTCGACGTGTGCAAGTGAGTGGTGACGTATGCAGGTGAGTGGTTACGTGTGAAGTTGAGTGGTGACGTATGCAGGTGAGTGGTGACGTATGCAGGTGAGTGGTAACGTGTGCAGGTGAGTGGTGACGTGTGCAGGTGAGTGGTGACGTGTACAAATGCGCGATGAATGGGGAAGGCGAGCTTTCACGAATGCGACAAACTTTGACGAAGCATCTCGGTTCAGGGATGAAGACCTGGTGACCACTATATTTCTACGTCAGTTGATGAGACTGGGGCAGCGATTGCTGGGGACGAGGTTGTTCTCTGCAGTCATGAAACCCGTCTTCTACGGGCAGTTTGTGGCGGGAACAAGCAAGGCTGAAGTCCTGGACTGTGTTTCCAGGCAACGAAAAGCTGGAATTGGACCCCTTCTGTCCGTGCCAATTGAACAGGACGTTAGCAGCAGGTACATTATATGTGGGTCATCGCCCTTTAACAGAAACTATAGTTTGGCATGAAATGCATGTGGACCCGTTTTTTTGTAAATATCTCTTCATCCAATGACCCAATCGATCTCAAACTGTGCAAGTGGATGTTTTATCAGACAACCTAATCACATTGTAAATCACCGATTTTATGCATTTGTATTAAAGAATCTGTCTATGTAACTGTCAACAAAATGAACAGCAGAACGCAGAAGGCTTGCAGAGGGAGGGAGCCAATGACCTGTAACAGCAGTAGTGTTGGGTCACCCCACAGTTACGTCCTTCCTGTTGACTCTTTAGGGGTCTGATCTGGTTTTAAGTTCTGAATCGTTTTTGATGAAAACATTTAGAAACGTTTAATAAGTCTTTAAAGGCACAATGTCACACATTTTCAACAATATTTTGGCTTATATTATACATATTCAGGTATATGCACTCACTTTAGCTTTCTATTGATGCAATAAAAGACTTACGACTTGCCTGAAATCGATAATTGAAACTTCGAGGCGAACTGCTTCCAAACAGAAAACACTTGCTATATATGGAACATTTGCTGCGTACATCGAAAACTGTCGCACTCGGTGTTGTCGGTGTTTGTCGAACTGGTTTCCATCACAAGTTGTGTTATAGGATATTCGTAAAGAGCGCTCCAAGGAACATAACTCTATGGGGTTCGCTTGAAATAATGTTTGGCCGGCAGAGGGCGTGAAAGTCGATTTAATGCAACGTTGCATTCGTTCGAACTTTTTTTTAATATTGTAATCTAAATACGTATTTTCTTAAAATAAATTATATGGTAGTTTCCCTGAGCGCTGATGGGGCGGTGGGGTAGCCTAGTGGTTAAAGCGTTCGCTCGTCACACCGAAGACCCGGGTTTCTATTCCCCACATGGGTACAATGTGTGAAACCCATTTCTGATGTTCCCCGCCGTGATTTTGCTGGAATATTGCTAAAAGCGGCGTAAAGCTAAACCCACTTTTAGAGAAGTGTGGTGTGATATAGTGCCTTTAACACAAACCTAGTAAGGATGCAAGAATAGGTTAGGCCAAAAACGTCATGTATCTTGGGGCGAGGGATGTGTACATTTTGTACGGGCATCATGCAGGCAGTATCAATCCGATGTCACAATTCTTGTACGTTTCGCACTTAAATTAGTTCCAACTGACCAAAAGACATACACTTGATTTATAAGTAAAGAATACATACTGATTGTTTCAGCAACACAAATGAAGAGTGTTATGACGACAACCTGCAGGTGATTCTCAACTGCATCAATATGACGGCGGAAGTTAAAGACAAGATCCCAATGATGCACATACGCATGACAAGCGTCCTTCCCGCCAATCTCTGCGTATGTAGTTTTACAGGCTCAATGGCGGAAGTAACCCGTCAGTAATTCTTGGACAGTCGAGGTATTCGGTGGGTTTGTGGGTTTAGGCTTTCTGAGATACGTCATGGTTGCGTCTGGCTGCGCTTTTTCCCTATTAGAGAAGAGTTTTAAACGCCCATAGAACGTCTTTTCTGTCTGACGTGTGCTTCTTGTGTCCAGTTGAGAGACTCATCAGTCTCTAATCTTCTCAAAACATTTAAGCAGCGATTTTCAGGATAGTTCTATTTTCAATATAGTTCTATTTTCAGGATAGATCTATTTTCAGTATAGTCCTATTTTCAGGATAGTCCTATTTTCAGGATAGTTCTATTTTCAGGATAGTTTAGGATAGTTCTATTTTCAGGATAGTTCTATTTTCAGGATAGTTCTGTTTGAGGAAACTTAAACTTTAGTGCATCCTTCGACCAAAAATTCCAAACAGACAGAAGGAATCCATTGTGTAATCACTAAAGGACTCAATTGTTCAGTGATTCGCCCTGTTAATACTGAATTCTCGGAACTAACTTCCTTGAACTTAAACTGTCTAAAGGATTTCTTCGTGTGGTTCATGCTGCATACAAATGTATATCACTGTCTGTTCTGCAACTTCTGTAATTAGCCTTGAAAATCGGGGACACGGCAAACATAATGATTTTCAAACAAAGGGTGTATGTTTGATTGCTTACAGAGTAGGTTTCTTCAAGGTATAAATAAAGATGTTAATTATAGGTGACTGTATGTTTGCTGTTACAGCTAAGTCTCAGCAAAGTGTTTCCAGAACCGTCCACAAACCCAGAACGGGTAAAGGAAGTTGCCGATGCCATGGAAACCGGTAAAACGGTAGGTGATTTAGGGAAACATTAAAGCGACTGCGCATGACGGGTAATGGCGGAAATATGTGGCAGTTTATTGAAAACGTACAGCCATCTGTCAAACAATTGAAGTCCTTGGGCGATCTTAGGGCCAGGCAGCACACAGTAGAACATTCCAGGCGTCTTGGCTGTCACAGTTTTCGTGGCTTGTTCACAGTGACCGAAAACCCGGCATTGATGATATTTGCATCGGTTTGTTTTTTCACCTGGCCAGGAGAAAACTACGGAAGCGCTGAAGGGACATGAGTAGGAGAATTTTGGGTTTTTTTTATATCGTGCACACGAGATACTAAAAGGAGCGGACGATGTAATCGTAAAAATCCTTTCTCTCCTTATTTCGTGCACACGATATAACATATCGTGGGCACACTATATTATATTGTGCGCACACTATATTACATCGTGCGCACGCTATATCATATCGTGCGCAAACTTTGTAACATCGTGCGCACACTATATTACATCGTGCGCAGATTTTAGTATCTCGTGTGCACTATATACAAAAAATAAAATTCTCCTACTCTTGCCCCTTCAGCGCTTCCGTAGAAAACAGCTTGGGGCAGTAAGTTTTAAGTCTACTGAAAATACGATTAATTTCTATCAGTGCCTGAGTCATCGTCGCTTCAGATATCTTTGGTTAACAGTTACATGATGTTACTGATGAGATTAACTGTAACTGTAACTATTGTCTCTCTGGGTTACAGATGGTCGTCCCTGGACTGTCTGAGACAGAGCTGAGTCAGTTCTGGAAGAGCCTCGCGAGACTTAAAACCATTGGGCAGGTGAACGCATGTTGATAGACGTGTCAGTTACAGCCTATTAACCGACATTAAGCATTATTGTTTGTAAGCAAATCCCGGCGACGCAGAAAATGATGAAACTTACAAGTTTGGTTTCAGTATTGTCGAACCAACGGTCATAATCGTGGCAAATCTGGGCTTCGTACCTAATATCAGATTTATGTTATTGCGTCCCTGGTGTTAGGTTCGAATCTTAGATTGGTCATGTTATCCCCAGTGCTGGTCTGTGAGACAACTTATAATTTAGGATCAGATTGTCAGGCTCAGTGTCATCGTGACCCCACGGCATGAGATGGTGCTCGCAATATCAACCACTTGTACAGCTTGTCCAGACCTGGGAAGTTTACAGCTTCAGTTATGTAGCTGTAATATTGCTGAGCATGGTCACAAACATTAAAAGAAGCACAGACAGACATCGTATGAATACACCACTATCTCTCTTTATTGTCACCCCTAAACACAAGGCAAGGGATACACGTGCACAAAGCAGTAGCCCCATACACGTGCATGGGGTGTCATTCTTGATTTTAATAGTTTTAAAGAAGGTCGATAAATCACTGTGGACCATTAATTTTGACAATCATCTTGCATCACACAGATGGTAGCGTTTGTTTCTAGTCGGGTTTTTTGTTTTTGGTTTTTAAAACGAAAACCGTGCGCATGCAAGTCCCACCTCATACACCAGTTATCTTTCAAGAGCGATTACAGTACAAACAACTGTGGTCCTAAGGAAATGCAAGTCCCACCTCATACACCAATTATCTTTCAAGAGCGATTACAGTACAAACAACTGTGGTCCTAAGGAAATGCAAGTCCCACGGTGATACACCAATTATCTTTCAAGGGCGATTACTGTACAAACAACTGTGGTCCTAAGGAAATGCAAGTCCCACGGTGATACACCAATTATCTTTCAAAAGCGATTACTGTACAAACAACTGTGGTCCTAAGGAAATGCAAGTCCCACGGTGATACACCAATTATCTTTCAAAAGCGATTACTGTACAAACAACTGTGGTCCTAAGGAAATGCAAGTCCCACGGTGATACACCAATTATCTTTCAAAAGCGATTACTGTACAAACAACTGTGGTCCTAAGGAAGTGCAAGTCCCACGGAGATGCATTCTCCAAATATATATTATTATCATATCAACAATGATTGACTCCGATATATCACCCAATTTTTCAATCGTAAATTAAAGATGAAGTTCCCCTACTTTTGTTGAAGAGCATATATCAGTATTCAGTATACTAGGAGGTCTTTGAATAAAATTTACGGGTGGTTGGGAAGCCCAGTGGTAAAAGCGTTCGTTCGTCACGCCGAATTAAGACCCGGGCTCGATTCCCCACATGGATACAATGTGTGAAGCGCTTGTCTGATGCCCCCCGCCTTGATAGTTCTGGAATATTGCTAAAGGTGTCAAAAACAATTCACTCACTTGAATAATATTTAATATACTGTAGTTATTCAGTAACCATAGCAACTTGCGTACAGCTCGCTGTGAAGAAGGATGTGATTGTTATGGTGGACGCTGAGTATACGTACGTCAACCACGCCCTCAACCTCGCCACCCTCGCCATGATGCTCAACTACAACGTGGACAACGCCCTCGTGTTCTACACCTACCAGAACTACCTCAAGGTATGTGGGAGGTGGTGGAACTGCACAGTGGTTTAGCGTCACGCCGACGACCTGTTACATCCCACATGCCTTCTGTCATGTCATATCAGTTTCAATGTTGATAAGGGGGGGTGGGGTAGCCTAGTGGTTAAAGCGTTCGCTCGTCACGCCGAAGATCCGGGTTCGATTCCCTACATGGGTACAATGTGTGAAGCCCATTTCTGGTATTCCCCGCCGTGATTTTGCTGGAATATTGCTAAAAGAGGCGTAAAACCAAACTCACTCACTCACTCATTGAATGTTGATAAACGTCATGTAAAACTATGCGCAGGGATGACCTGTGGAGGAAGGTAAATCCTGTCGCCCCTACCCTGCAACTTTGCTTTACTCGTTGTATGTTCCTTACATTGTGGTAGCGGTGACTGTTCCCCTCCCTTCATTGTCAGTGTTGCCTGGGCCCTGTTACACAAAGCTATGGTAGCGCTACGACTGTCGTAAGTCTGTGTTACAGTTTAGGGGTTACGACAGTCGTAGCGCTACCATAGCTTTGTGAAACGGGGCCCGGTATTGGAGGCTAGGGACTATCCCATCTGAAACACCTGACAGGGTGCATGATTCACAAGGCACTTCTACATCTCCAAAAGTAAAAAAAACCAAAGATGTTTTAAATCTATAAACAAAAAACATCTCTAAGTCGCTGGCTCGAACATACGTATGTTACGTTTGGCCGAAAGTGATCTTTGAATAATGATCCCATTTAGGAGCGTTTGGTCGAGAGACGCAAGACATGGGTTTTAACAAACCAAACCTGGACAAACCTTGTAAGTGTGAGTCGAACATAAGTGCATTTCCTTGTCGGGGTTATATAACTTCTTCCGGTTGCTTCCCCCTAGTCTACGCCCTTACGTCTACGGCGTGACCTCGACCTCGTCGACAAATACGGGGTGTGTTTCGGCGCCAAGGTCGTGCGGGGAGCGTACATGGAGAAGGAACGGATGTTGGCCAAAACCCAGGGTTACCCTGACCCCATCAACGACACCTTCGACGACACCAGCAGCATGTACCACGATTCAATGGAGCTGTTGTTGTCGAGGATCAGCAAGGACCCCAAACTGACTCGCATCATCATCGCTACACACAACATTGACACTATAAAACTAGCCAAAGAAAGGTACGGATTAGTGTTGGGAATTGGTTGAAATCTCACAACTGATAATTGGTTCAATACCAACGACCAATCATCGAAAAAAATTGGTTCGCGTCATTTTTTAGATTTTCCTATTCAGGTTGTAGTTGCAGATAAGTATAAAGAAAAAACATTTGGTTTTCTGTTGTAGTTTTTTGAAACTGCACAAATTACATTTGCAAATTTCACATCCAGTGTAAAATGATTCAGTTCCAGTGTAACATAAACTTCCCAGATTCTTCAAGAAATATTCAGTAATGACTTTTCAGAAAGTGAAGTGAGTTTTCTTAGAAATAAACACGTTTTCAGGCCCTGACAACGTCCTAGATATGTTCTATCATTAAGTATTTCAAACTCTATTACACCGGTTCCAAAATCGTTTGTGTTCGATTATGAGAAAATGTGATCGATTGCTTGGTCGTTTGGCCCCTGCGACCAATCTTCGATTATTTCAATTAATCGGACCACCACTAGTACGGATTCGGTTGTCATTAATTACACCAGGGATACTCTACAACCCCCTTATAGAGTCTCCCTGATTACACGTGACTTTACAGGCCTATGCAGACTTTAACGGAATTTTACTGAATGTAACGAAGGCCGAAGTGTTCACCCGGACTTTAAGCTTGTGAAATCTGACTCTCATTGCGGTAAATCGAAGCCCGAACAACGTGAATTGCCACGTGAGAAACACGTAACGTCGCATCAAAATTCTTCAATGACCCTAAAGAATGCTTGCTTCTGATTGGTCAAAGTAAGATTACCCTCGGTTATCTAGATGAATGCGATACCTCAAAATTAACATGCCGTTTCGCACACAGACCATGCTTGTGAAAACATCGAGCATAGGCGACCACGCATTTGATAATGGCTGCCGATAACAAATAAGTTTATTGCTTACACACAATATCAAAACAGCTGCCTGTTGCTGTCATCAATCATCGGTCATTAAAATGAACAATACAACGGACTCTGACATTTCATAGTCAAGAATTTCTTGTTGCGCTGTCAAAGACAAAATCCCCCCGCCACCATTTTCTGGACTGAATCTTTGCTACTCTCGTCGGACATCAAGCTGGTCACTGTGATGCAAAGATTGTGACTTCACAGTCGGAAAAGGCATCACACTTCCGACACACTGGTGTCCGTGGAAATTTATTGAAAAACAAGTCTTGTTCGATAAATCAATCTCGTGTTTTCTCAGAGGCGGTTCCTGTGATCTGAAACCTCATATTGACCAATCAGAATGTAGTAAACTGTGGGTGACATACATGTATCTAGTGGTTTTGAACTGGTATAGACTGACGTGCAGTGCTATATACAATGTTTCAGATTGAAGCACTACAATATTGACCTGGAAACTAGAAGTGTGTTCTTCGGGCAGGTGTACGGCATGGGGGATCACATCTCGTGTCGTCTCGGTAAGCGTCGTCAAATTGGGCATTCTGTCACCAGTTGTCTGATGGTGGTAAATGGTAGATATCAACACATTGACGGACTATTGACTATTGATAGCTGAAGGATGTGGTATATTTGCCCGTGAAGGTCCGGGTTAGAATTGGTCTTCAGTAACCCGTGCTTGTCGTAAGAGGCGACTTACGGGACCGGATGGTCAGGCTCGCCGACTCGGTTGATTTGTCATCGTATCCAAAAATAGATCGATGCTCATGCTGTTGATCACATGATTTTCTGGTCCCGACTCGATTATTTACTGACCGCCGTCATAGCTGGAATGATGCCGAGTTCGGCGTTAAACACCAAACAAACAAACAAACCAAATGGTAATTAATTTCAAAGGCGGGTTGTGTGGAGGAGGGTGGGGTGGTGGTGGAGGGCGATATATCAAATCAGCGTTCTGAATGACTCCACCACTGACTGCAGGTTATGACGGCTACCCAGTGTACAAGTCCATCCCGTACGGCTCCGTCACCGACACCCTGCCCTACCTGTTACGCCGGGCCCAGGAGAACAGGGCTGTCCTGCAGGGGGTCAGGCAGGAGAAGGACCTCTTCAAGACGGCGTTAAAGGGGAGGTTTTGGGGCAACAGCGGGGTGTAGGTTGGTTGAAAGTGTTTTAACGAATCCAACAGATGCGGCAATTATGATGTCACCTTTCCTTGTTGCCTTTGCCCTGTAACCTGGAACGTTGACTTTCATCACTGCCAGATCCCTTGACCCCTGCTCTGTTACCTTGACCTCTGACTTGATACTTTGACCCCTGCCGTGACCCTTTGACCAGTGACCTGATAACTTGCATGTGATTACCTGAAAGGCCATATCCTGTCTCCCAGACCCAAGAGAATAAATGAAATAGGAGTCAAACTCAAGTCTAGAATGATTTGGCAAGTCAAGATTGCTTCAGTTCAGAAAGGACGATATATCTGGGCTCCTTTTGGGATAAATAAATCTTTGTATATTTGTAAATATGGTAACTTTATTCTTAGACGAAATGTCAGTCTAGCAAGGCCATAGAACCTGTTACTGAAGGTTGAGTATTATTTGTGCCTCCATGTCAGTTTCATGTACGATGGTTGGTTGTTTATGAACATAAAATAATGAATATACATGTATTATACCCCTGACTGTCGTATAATGACCAGTTGGTGATTATAACAGGGCATAGTGTTCCGGTCTGAACCTACTCAGTGTAAGTGTATATAAAAGAAACATCCCTTGGAAGAAACATATACTCACACACACACACACACACACACACACACACACACACACACACACACACACACACACACACACACACACACACACACACACACACACACACACACACACACACACACACACACGAAAACAAGTGGTAAATGTTTTGAAACACGACGTGCAAGCGGCATACTGAAAGATTACCCAAGGTGAAGTTTAACGTGTTAGTGAAAGCCACGGGTATGGATTTGGTGATAACAAGCCAAAGATAATTATTGGGCGAATCTGGGTATTAAACCCCAGGCCAGCTGATCCTGGTACGTCCAAGGGACGCCACTCAACACAGAAACACCAGAATCTACCACAAGACTATCTATATGATCTGAAGTTATACTGAGATTTACCTTGAAGACGTGTTTTTTTCGTTCACCTTAGAAAGTGAACGTTTTCATCACGATGTGAATCGGAATGCCAATGAAACTGATTCTCTACAGATCTGAAACGAGAGCCTTCAGTAGGAGTTACGAATGGAAGACAAAGTGACTTTTTTACCTTCAAGACAAAGCATGTGCTACAGCTGATTCCGCCATCAGCCAATAAGTGACAGTTGATTCCGATGGCGAGAGATCCTCTTGCGGACACGAACTCTTCCTAAAGCCACTTGTGGACGAGGACATTTTAATACCAAGGAGAGTCGTGCCCTGGTGCCAATTACAGATGTCAAAATACTTTAAACATTTTATTCTGTATTTTCACCGTCGAGATTTCAGATTTATTCAAGAACAGATAACTTCTGAAAAGAGTCTGGTAAATATTGGCTATAAATTGTATTGTATATAGAACCACATTGCCATAGAAAGGACTCGTATAAAGTGGCTAAGCCTCTTAAATACTTTGATTTATTTTGAGAGAGTGAGTTTGGTCTAACACCGCTTTGATAATAATTTCAGTTACATCACCAGGTTCAGCTTGGAGGAAAGCAAAAGGCGAAACCAACAGATGACACCAAAACATAACCAAAACAAACCTTGGATTCGAACCTCGGTCATGGGTTACTTGCAAACACGAGGGAGGCAACTCGGCAAACGTTAAACAATGTGTTTCCCCCGGCAGAATGTGTGTCCATCGGTTGAAATGTCCCCGATTACATGTGTCGCTCAGATTACATTTTGCCGCTGTTTGTGACCAATGTAGACACCCACTCACTTATTACAATCCCTAGACACCGTGTTAGAAGTGGCCCCCAGCAACACCCTCGGAGTCGGGGTGAGAGTACACCCCCAGCACCCTATGGTGGCCCAACAGGGGTGACCATATGGTCAGGCTCCATCACCTGGATGATGGTATGTCGTCTTGCCCAGATAGACAGGATCGTTGGTCATAACATTAATCACTGGGTTGTCTGGTCCAGACACAATTATTTTATGCCGCTGTCTAAAGCAGGAATACTGCGTGCGGTGTTAATAAACAAACACATTGATATACAAGTTGCTCGGTAGCTCGACAGACAACAGGTGCGTACCTCTCATTTTACGGTCGCTTCTGTTCGAGGCATTCGCGAGGATAGTGGAAACGTTCACCTATTTTCAATTTTGAGAATTGTTATGCTTAAACGTCTGTTTGAAGATGTAAAACAGTGTTTAATTTGGTTTGGGAATGGGGCATTTCTAAGTATTTCAGTTTTGTACAATTCAAATGAACCTAAACTCCACAACTAATGCCCACATATATACAGAAACGCAAAGATATATACCACTGTGCAGGCCAGAAACAAACAAATACCCACGTGCAAAATATGACGTCATGAATGGAATTCAACTTCAACCGGCTCTTGCATGGAAGTTTCTTCTACGGAGATGATAACTATAGCTTAGACAATGGCAGGAATACGCTTCCATACATTTAGCATCTCACAACACAAAATCATCATTAAATAATCTGAAGTATTTATTCCACCAATTGAAAATTTATATTTCGCTGACGGTTATAGTCCGTTTGCCTCAAAAGCGGACCGATGAATTGCAATCTAACTCGAAAACTAATAAACATATAATATTCAATGAAACGCTGATCATAATCAAAACATCTGACCAACCCTGTGATTTGTTTGCAGAATTTATGTCCAAAAATTAAAAAAGTTGTTTAACAAACTATCATTAAAGTTTTGACACAGTTCACTATTTGTTACGAGGGAGGAGTGCAGAGAAAGGGACAGCCAGGTGTTAGAGAAGCACGTGCACAAGTGCCGACAAAGTTATTGATTCATTAACCTGTGCAATGCCGTCTCCATCCTTTCTCGCACACCTGGCTGTCCCTTTCTCTGCACTCCTCCCTCGTAACAAATAGTGAACTGTGTAAAAATTTTAATGATAGTTTGTTAAACAACTTTTTTATTTTTAGGACATAAATTCTGCAAAAAAACCTCACAGAGTTGGTCTGACGTTTTGATTATGATCAGTGTTTCATTGAGTATTTTATGTTTATTAGTTTTCGAGTTAGATTGCAATTCATCGGTCCGCTTTTGAGCCAAACGGACAATATACATATGCGGTCATTACCTGGATCATTAAATTAATTAAAATGCTTTAATTCATTTAAAACGGAAAATAATCTTCTTTACTCATGACGTCACGTTGAGGCAGCTAAGGTGAGTATCGCACCCCAGGGGTTAAGATATGGCAGCTTAGGTTAACGGAGGTATATCGTATAACGAGCTAACGTTGGTCAACTAAGGTTAACATGGGTCACACCTGGGTCAGCACGATCTCACCATAAACCTCAGTGATAACCGTGCACCGTCTGAAAATCACGGAAATAACCGGACATGCCCGAAGCGCTAACACCGTTTTGCCTAACCGTGAAAGGGAAACTGTTGCATACAGTATCTGTTCCTATTGCTTCATATCTCCACTACACAACTACCCGGAGGTTCGGTTTGACCTAGGTAGATATTATCAGCTAAAACCTATATTTATCTTCACGGAGGTAATTTATCAAGAAATAAGTCCACACCCGGCTTGACATTGACAACCGGGGTGTCAGAGGTCAAAGGGTACAGGTCATATCATGACAAACTACAATGTAAACATAAAGTCACGCTCGACGTATCTCGTTTCCTCCTCGTTTGTAGATCTCGTTATGAACGAGACTATCGTGTTGAGGAAGGAGTCCCAATATACAACTTCGTCATTTGTAGTATTATCCGGGATTCGGCGACATAACATGGCCACAGCATGGCACGCGTTAAGTCGCGTAGTCTGGGCTTGAAGACGTTGATGTATTATAGCGGGGAAGTCTCTTGACATCACATCATGTAAAGCGCAAAACCTATCTGTAAACTGTGTAATATTTAACTATTACTACCTGGCAAGACGACATTTTTTACAGGCAACCAACCGTCACCTGAATAATTCTCGTGAGTATATACTTATATATATGTTCAGTTGTGTGTTCTTTGTGCATTCTACACTGTGTGTTCATATATGGCATGTCGTCCTTGTAGAGCATTCTACAAGGTGTGTTCAAATATGGCATTTCGTCCTTGTAGAGCATTCAGTCTACGTGTATACCATTCTAAACTGTGTGTACATCATACACTTTTTGTGTATCACTCAGTTTAAAAGAATATCAGTATAGACAAACTCTATGGATAACAATTTCTATATGTCTATATTGTACTTCCCATCTTCTAAAATGCCTGTCAAAGAAGTTGAAAGAATATCATTAAGTTAATGCGCATATCACTCGGTTAATGTGTATGCTCTCTGAAGGTACGTTTGACCCACAGAGTTGCCTCCTCTGGTGATGGGTTCGAATCCGAGATTTGCACTCATTATGATCCGTGGTTTGTCCGCACCGACTCCCGCTATATTGTTTACCACAGAACTCAACTCATATCGCTGTATATCAGAAACATTTACCATCACCACTCCCCACCACCCCAGTTCCTCCCCCGTTATAGCGCTGCGGAGGTGGCCCACATATCAATCAATACCCTCTTATTGCGACGTACGCCTTTGTGTAAATGTCTCCACGTGTTAGGTAACTACAGACAACCTATAAGTGGTTTAGTAGAGTGTGGTGTAGAGATTGCGTAGTCAATACAAGTTGCTGGGTCTCGTTTCACAAAGCTGTCGTAGCGCTGGGACTGCCGCACCTCCTATACTGTAACATAGACTTACGACGGTCGTAACGCTACGATAGCTTTGTGAAACGGGGCCCTGGACGTATGGGTAATATTTGCATTATGTAACGACGTGGAAGCCTTTTATGGAAGGACAGACAGACATAACGTAGTTCTTGCATATTTGACCCTTCAGTTGAACCTCACTACGCCCAGTGTCCCAGATCGTAGGGAAGACATCGAACAGAGGTCCAACTCAAGCCCAATATGTATTGTAAATATGATAACTTTATTTCTGGGACTTAAAGTCACGGCAAGGGCGTGACAAACGTAGAATTATAATCACAGTGGCTGAGTTTGGGCGTGAGGTGTTGTAGCACTCTGACACTATAGGACATTTAACGCTTGAAACTGTGTATCCTTGTGTGGAATCGAACCAGGACCCTATGCCGGGAGCGTCACTGCTTTAACCACTGGACTGCTGAAGAGCCCCAGGATACCATACAGGAGAGGCGTCAGGTGTTTGGGCAAGCCCGTCAACTACTCGGCTTCCCAGATGAGTGAATGAGTGAGGGTTTACAGAGCTTTTAGCAATATTCTAGCGACATTAAGGCGGGGGACCCAAGAGATAGGCTTCACACATTGTACTCATGTGGGGAATCGATGCCGGGTCTTCGGCGTGACGAGCGAACGCTTTAACCACTAGGCTACCACGCCGCCAACTTCTCTGAAGAAATAGCACGTGAAGCAGTGTGCGAAATAGTTTCCAAATTTTGCTATGCCTGAAAGATACTAGCCCACAAAATAATTCACCATCCCGAAATTTGAATGTAGACACGGGTCAGTGGCTATTCCGCACACTGACGTGAAGTCCTATATCAGTTCGGATTGGATCAGGTGGTCAGACTAGTTACCTGGTTGACTGCGTGTCTTCTTATACACTCACTGTATGGGCCGTTTCTCATCATATCGATCACTGGATTGTCTGGTCTACACCCGACTGTTTACAGGACGCCGCCACGTTGCTGAAATATTGTCAAGTAAACCATACAAACATGAAACAAGTATATCTTGCGTTTGCGTTAAAAGCGTTAAGTGTTAATAATTATGTGGGTCAACGGGAATGGGAATCTAAGCACCTCATGTCGTAATTGATGTAAATGTTCCTGTTGCGGTTTCAAAGGTCATCGGGGTTACGTCCCGACCCTCCAACACATAGTAACCACGAGGAAGTGTTCCTTTAAGTCAGAATACCCTGCATAGGGCTAGCCTAGTGGTTAAGGCGTTCTCTCGTCACGCCGAAGACCCGGGTTCGATACCCGACATGGGTACAATGTGAGAAGCCTTTTTCTGGTGTCCCCCCGACGTGATATTGCTGGAATCACTCTCACTCACTCACTCAGTATACCGTGCACGGGACAACGCAGACATCCTAAGGGATTCACCACATAAACAGTCTGTGTAGGTGTGCAGCTAGTTTGGGGATGATATGTATTAGACAAAATTTTATGTCGTTAATTCAGTTAGGTGTTTGTAAAGAAATGTGGCCTTCTATGCAGTGCACGTGAGGGATTCACTGCATAAACAGTCTGTGTAGGTGTGCAGCTAGTTTCGGGATGATATGTATTAGACAAAATGTTATGTCGTTAATTCAGTTAGGTGTTTATAAAGAAATGTGGCCTTCTATGCCGTGCACGTGAGGGATTCACTACATAAACAGTCTGTGTAGGTGTGCAGCTAGTTTAGGGATGATATGTATTAGACAAAATTTTATGTCGTTAATTCAGTTAGGTGTTTATAAAGAAATGTGGCCTTCTATGCCGTGCACGTGAGGGATTCACTACATAAACAGTCTGTGTAGGTGTGCAGCTAGTTTGTGGAGGATATGTATTAGACAAATGTCCCTGATTCCGTTTGATGCTTATAAAGAAATGTGGCCTTCTATGCCAACTGACATGGCAGCTGAATAATGTGTGCAGTGATCCGTGCTGTCGGATTGAGATGACTCAAGTATCTCTCTGTCTACGTGATCATCCATCCAAGCTCTACTTACGCTAAGTAGTCATCTGTTTACGTGATCATCCATCCAAGCTCTACTTACGCTAAGTAGTCATCTGTCTACGTGATCATCCATCCAAGCTCTACTTACGCTAAGTAGTCATCTGTTTACGTGATCATCCATCCAAGCTCTACTTACGCTAAGTAGTCATCTGTTTACGTGATCATCCATCCAAGCTCTACTTACGCTAAGTAGTCAGCAGATGTAGATTCAGTCGGTGCTGGTCACACGGGATTCCGCTGGGAAAGGTCGCACGTTTAGAACTGAGCTGGCTAATTTGAGTAGTATTTGATTTAAACGACGATCGGATCCTAGAAAACTAAGGGCCGCAACTCTGCATATCGAAATGCGGCACCTCAGACCCTTTATGCCCGTATCCCCTATGTATAGTATCAATATTTATCTATAATTAGACAACAGATACATGATCTAGTAGATACATGTTCATCGTTTGGAGGTGTTTTCTTTAAGTCACCAGTAGACACTAGGATCGGCCCGTTAGTAAATTATGCAAATGTGCCCTGAAGTATTTACAACACACGCGTCCGTTTCATAAAATACGAAAATATCTTTGAAATCTATACACCTATCACTTCCTGATTTAATTATTTCGTCCAAGGTGCCGTTCCACAAAGTGAAAACTCAACTCGTCTTAAGACGATGGTAATGCGCATTCTGAAACAATGTCGTATAACTTCTTTGAGAGGCATTTTAGAAGTTGTAAAGATGAAGGAAAACGAAGTTCTATGGATTGTAAACTTCTTTATTGCAATGAATGCGGTGTTAGTATCTACACCGAAACGTCGCATTCATTACAATAAGGAAGTTAACTATCCATAGAACTTGGATTTCCTTCAACAATTTCGTAGCTCTGAGATCGCTCTGTGAACGAGACCCATGGCAAACAAGACTTTGAAACCAATATGGCGGCCCCACTGGCAGCGAGCGTTTCATGTTACTCCTGTGTCTTCTCCTTCCAGATAATGGCTGCCGCCAACATCCTAGCGAGTCTCAAGGAAGCACTCCTAGAGTGCCCGATATGTCTCGACCATTACGACGATAGTGTCCGTATTCCACGTCGCCTATCGTGTTGCACACAGGCACTGTGCCAGCCGTGCCTGAAGACATACAGCCGAGACATGCCCCACATCACGTGCCCGTTGTGCCGCCAGGACTGTGACCTGTCCGGGGGGATCACATCCCTCCCGAAAGAGATGCTGATCCTGCGGTTCTTGGAGCATCTGAAGACGTCATTAAGCAACCCTGTCCCGTCTTGCTCTCGCTGTGTCGAACCTACCCCTGCCTCCGCTAAATGTGACACGTGTGTCGCCTTTCTGTGCACGGGGTGTCTATACGCTCATTTGGCAAACCGTGCCACCAAAGGACACGCCACTGTCACGTTTGAGCAGGCTAGATCGGAGCAGATGGTGAGAAGAAGCACCATTCGTCAAGGTCGTTCAGAACAAGGTCAATGTGGCGGAAACGGTATTTCTGGGAAGGTAACTGAGCTGGGTAACAGGGTTGAGGAACTGTCCAGTATTAGAGACAATATTGTCCTGTCCAGGACGACGGCCGTGGATGAAATTAACCTTGTGTTCGATGACCTTGTAGAAAAACTGCAACAACGGAGAGGAATGCTTCTGTCCCAAGTGGAGTCAAAGGTCGAGAGAGAGGTCAAGGCCATCACAAGGGCAATCGAATCACACAAGGTCACACAGGTTAAGTTACTGAATGCTTCTAAGGGTCCACAGAAATCCTTACGGCCGGTTCTTGAGGCAAAGCCACAAGACGTTGAGTTTGTGAGGCGGGGCGTCAGTTTTGTACCAGCCAATATTCAGAATTTAGCCTCTATTGTTATGGCCGGAGCCGGGTCGGTCAGGGCAGTGACCTTTACACCCACGGAGAGACCGACAGGGTTGGACGAGGAGAATCACTGCAACTCCATCAGCCTGGAACGTTCAGAGACCCAACAAGGTAACATCAAGAATTGGAGGTTTCAAATAGAACTACCTCCTATGCCTGCATCTCTGTGCAGCTGCTCGAATATGTTGCTTGACAGCATAACACCTATTATGAGATATCCTTACTAAAGTGTAAAACATGATAGATGTCATAACTGGGCATTATTAGAATTACACAAAGTTAAGTTGCCATATCCGGGTAATAACGTTACCTGAGTAAGTGTTAAATGTAGCTCCCTAGACAATAAAGTATGATTTTTATGATTTGGAACAAATGAACATTTGGCTATTCCTTAATATCAATGTGATTAGTGTATTTTCTAGCCTCGGGACGGAATCGCGTGCCGCTTCATTTTGCGTTACGTCACAGTAAACACCATCTCAGTTTCTCTCATTCGGGTCGGGGAGGGGCGTTAGGGAGGGGGGCTAAGATTCACCCGCAGCATGTCTAGTGAACAACTTTTCTTTTGTCCAGCCTGAAGTATAATTATTATGTATCTGTGTTTTCTCGAATACTTTGTTTTTCAAGCTGTTTCATATTTACTTAGACTGGCAATGAGCCTGGTCAAAGTCCCCCTTTAAGGAATCACCTCCCATGATGACGACACTGCCGTTCTTCATTTCAGCCGCTGAAGTCAAGGTCCATGTGGTGTCCGCGCGTGGCTCACAGAAGGAGTGTCACACAGGTAATTCACGCACCTGTGTCAGTCACGTGGTTCTATGATACTTTTAGGAGAAACCCTAGATCCTGGGTAGAATTGGTCCTTGGCAACCTATCGTAAAAAGCGATTAACGGGATTGGGCGATACGTGATTTGGTTCATGCATGTCACCACAGAGCAGTTGCGTAGATCGATGCTCATGATATTAATCACTGGACTGCCAGGCCAAGATTCGACTCTTACATGCCGGCGTCGTATAGCTGGAATATTGTGTAGTGCGACAATAAACAACAACCAAAAAATGGAAAAGTGCACATGAATAAACATTTGCAAACATACGTGACTACGGAAATATATGTAAACTACGAATAAGTGAGTGAGTGAGTGACAACATGAACAGTGACCCAAGACATCGGGACATGATGACATGGATGGAGCCTGACCACCTTGTCTAAATCAGTCGCCCCAGCAGACAGTTCTGGTCCAGGGTCCCGTTTCACAAAACTGCCGTGGCGCTGCGGCTGTCGTAAGTCTATGTTGCAGTGTAGGAGGTACGACAGTCGTTGCGCTACGATAGCTTTGTGAAACGGGACCCTGGTCCCCAAGGGGTACCCCGGGAGGTTTCAAACGCTAATAGACGTGTGCAGTTTGCGTACCCAGTTTCAGAACTACGTACTTCCGAAAACTTGGAGATCTGATCGTGTCCAATGATTAAATGAGACATGTTTGGAGTATAGCTCATGCAGAGATCAGGGTAGTTTCTATCCAGGTCTCATTGTTATGGCTGTCACAACTTCACAATGGCCTAGGGCGGGGACTTACGTTAGACAATTGCTCGGAAGACAAGGGCATCTCGTTGTTGTTGCGATGTTCCTATGTGACAGGCAGGGAGTGTTGATGGTTTACTGGTTGGGAACTGCATCGTCTTTTTATCTTATGGGTAAACGTGGAATTGTTAAGATGCCTTGAATCCTAGTCACAGTAAGGGACGATAGACGGGTGCGTCAAATGGCGCCACTTGATTCGAACATAGTATGATGCGCGGTCATTGCACTGCTAGCTGAGTGAGTGAGTGAGTTCAGATTTTAAGTCACATCGGCAGTATTTCAGCCATATTGTGACTGCTAGCTGAGGCACGTGAAGTTAACTTCACTATGGGTTTGTAGACTTAAATACATTACTAATATGAATTTTAGTGAGTGAGTTTAGTTTTACGCCGCACTCAGCAATATTCCAGCTATATGTCGGTACTAATATGATGTCTTATAGCGTCTTGCCTAATAAATACATTGCTGTTGTCCTAGAAAGCACTGACTTAAATAAATTGCTAATATGTTGTCTAAAGCACTGGGGGCGGTGTGGTAGCCTTGTGGTTAAGGTGTTGGCTCGTCACGCCGCAGACCCGGGTTCGATTCCCCATATGGGCACAATTTGTGAAGCCCATTTCTGGTGTCCCCAAACGTGATATTGCTGCAACATTGCTAAAAGCGGCGTAAAACTAAACTCACTCGCTCACTCACTAGAAAGCACTGGCTTATATATGCTACTGACAACCTTCCTACAGCTTCAGTCTCCCATATATTTCGGCACACATGTTTAGTTTTCTCCTACAATATGATACAATGTCTCCTGTAAGTTGACCTGACCCTTCCTAGATTACCTACATACTTGTGGACCGCCTCCGTGGTGTAGTGGTTAGAGCGTCCGCCCGGAGAGCGGAAGGTCGCGGGTTCGATCCCCGACCGCGTCATTCCAAAAGACGTTAAAACATGGTACTTGTTGGTCCCTGCCTGGCGCTCGGCATTAATGGGTACAACAAGGACTGGTCGGCTCGGAGTCAGTATAATGTGTCTGAGTTGGGTATTCATGCTTCACTGCGGTGTGGTATCTCAGTGGGCTAGCACTATAAAACCAGCTTCAGTCTGGGCTAGTACAAGCAGCCGCACATACAAACGTGTGCCCAATTTCACCTCACCTCACTATATACTTGTGTGTTGTCCAGGTTCTCAGTGGGACCAAGTGATAGTTCTACAGAAGGACAAAGACGTCAAGCAGATTATTTGTAAGTATGTGCTGAAATAAATCAGCTCCAGCCTCAGCGTCACGGTGAGGTTGGAATATAAGAAATATGTCTACACTACTTAAAACATCCATAGCTGGCTACCACAAGAGAAGCGAAACTGAGATCACCGTCAGTAAATTACACGGTGGGTCTAATCACTGTGCTGAATGTTTCATCTACCAAGGAGACACTCACTCCAGCATCACGGCCATTGGGGAGTATTTGTCGCTCACTAGTCGTCCGTCGTGACGCAGGGATTACATACAGGATACTGGTCAGACTAAGAGAGGATTAACGTAAGATGATAAGATAACGGGAAGTCAAGGAGATTATCGATAAGCTGATCAGGCTAGAGTGAAAATAGTGGCATTTGTTGGATGGTATCATTATATAACATCCACGGTGCATGAGCAGAGTCGTGGCTAAATGGTTCGCTCGTCGCGCCGATGTCGCGGGTTCAACTTCCCACGGACATAATGTGGAAAATCCATCTTGTGTCCCCTGGACATATTACATGACACGATGGTTTGGTGGAAGGCACCCTGGGTGGTAACGTTGGGTATTTGCAGATGGGAAAGGACACGCTAGGTGGGTATAGGGCAAGTTCAGTGGAAACACTTGATGGAAACGCTTGGTATCTGCATGACATGTTAGGCGGGTATAGGGCAAGCTGAGTGGAAACACTTGGTGAAAACGCTGGGTATCTGCAGGACACGTTAGGTGGGTATAGGGCAATCTCAGTGGAAACACTTGATGGAAACGCTGGTTATCTGCAGAACACGTTAGGTGGGTATAGGGCAAGCTCAGTTGAAACACTTGGTGGAAACGCTGGGTATCTGCAGGACACGTTAGGTGGGTATAGGGCAATCTCAATCGCAATTAAACACTTGGTTGGAACGCTGGGTATCTGCAAGACACGTTAGGTGGGTATAGGAGGGAACGCTGGGTATCTGCAGGACACGTTAGGTGGGTATGGGGCAAGCTCAGTGGAAACACTTGGTGTAAACGCTGGGTATCTGCAGGACACGCTAGGTGGGTATAGGGCAAGTTCAGTGGAAACACTTGATGGAAACGTTTGGTATCTGCAGGACACGTTAGGTGGGTATAGGGCAAGCTGAGTGGAAACACTTGATGGAAACGTTTGGTATCTGCAGGACACGTTAGGTGGGTATAGGGCAAGCTCAGTGGAAACACTTGGTGGAAACGCTGGGTATCTGCAGGACACGTTAGGTGGGTATAGGGCAAGTTCAGTGGAAACACTTGGTGGAAACGCTTGGTATCTGCAGGACACGTAGGTGGGTATAAGGTAATCTCAGTGGAAACACTTGGTGGAAACGCTGGGTATCTGCAGGACATGTTAGGTGGGTATAGGGCAATCTCAGTGGAAACACTTGATGAAAACGCTGGGTATCTGCAGGACACGTTAGGTGGGTATAGGGCAAGTTCAGTGGAAACACTTGGTGGAAACGCTTGGTATCTGCAGGACACGTTAGGTGGGTATAGGTGGGAACGCTGGGTATCTGCAGGACACGTTAGGTGGGTATAGGGTAACCTCAGTGGAAACACTTGATGGAAACGCTGGGTATCCGCTATGTTACGTTAGGTGGGTATAGGGAAGGTGTGTTGGTCTCATCATGGACGATTCTTTTCTTTAGATTTGTTTTGTTACTGGGTTATATTCCGTTGCCTCGATTTATTTGTGCCAGTAATTACTTGCAGGTCCATATATGGAATATGACCTTTATACTTACATGTCCATATATGGAATATGACCTATATACTTGCAGGTCCATATATGGAATATGACCTTTATACGTGCAGGTCCATATATGGAATATGACCTTTATACTTGCAGGTCCACATATGGAATATGACTTTTATACTTACATGTCCATATATGGAATATGACCTATATACTTGCAGATCCATATATGGAATATGACCTTTATACTTGCAGGTCCACATATGGAATATGACTTTTATACTTACATGTCCATATATGGAATATGACCTATATTCTTGCAGGTCCATATATGGAATATGACCTTTATACTTGCAGGTCCATATATGGAATATGACCTTTATACTTACATGTCAATATATGGAATATGACTTTTATACTTGCAGGTCCACATATGGAATATGACTTCAGTACGGCCAGTGACGACATCATCCCCACGTCCGACTCGACTGTATCGAACGTCAGACCGTCAAACCCAATCTCAAACACTGGCTGTCGAATCCAGGCCCAGAGACATGTCCTCCTGACCCCCAGTCTCGATCTACAACAAGTTCATCGGGTGATGTTTCAGATGAAAGTAACATTTAAACTAAAGCAAGCGATACCCGACAGAAAGAATATATTCCAGATCAGCTTCGTGAGGAAGCCAATGGACGTCGCTTGGAGTCAAACTGCGGAACTGAATCTTGAACTCCGCACGTGCAGTCAGCACAAAAATCACGTGAATCGTGTGTGTCTCTTTGTAATGTATGATGGGAAGGATGTGTTCTGTTCCGCCATTGGTCAGAATCAAGCTGGCGAGTCGTGTGACCTTCACCTTGGGTTTTTATTTGACGGCGATACGAGACAGATCGACATCATGGATGTCAGTGGTGGGAAGCTGTTGAGTAGTGTGTCAAACGTGGCGTTTGAGCAAGCACTGTGGACTATATTGTACCTTGGGCGACCGGAATGGACAATCATCAATTCGGAAATTGTTTCTGGGAACAATGTTCAGATTTCTAAAGCACTGAGCGATATTTTGAATACCTCCTTGTTTCCGGAAATGAATATGATGTCTGCTGTTTAAAACGTGGTGACATCTCAGCGAATTATCAGGCTTGCATCGTTATTTAAAACAGTGCAGCATTCAAGAATATCTCGCAGATATGTTATAAACATGTCTGAAAAGTATAAAGGTGATTGACAGGTGTATGAGAACAGATCAGGTTTAACTGTAACATCTAGATACCCTTTCGTACGCCTCAGCTAGTGACAAAAAGACAAGGGACCAGTGTACGTTGTAGGCTTAAAGTTAGGGAACAACTCCATCACGGACAGGGTCACCATAATGACTAAATTAGATACCGATTTGTCTCCATTGTTTATAGAATTTGTCTAAATTAATAATAAAAAGTTCTGTAAATGACCGTGCGTGTTGGACGTCAAAACCGTTTCAAGATGGACGCTTGTGAAAAGCACTTGAAATGTCTACAGAGGGTATTGCGGTCCGTCTTACTGTTGGACCATGCTGTTGGACCAAGCTGTGGATTGACTGCGAATGGGTCCAGGGTAAGGATCGCATACATTAATAGTGGTGTACTGGGTACAGAGGGTGACTCGAGGTAGATTGAGGGGTAGGGGGCGTCTGTGGACGAGGGGTCGCTTATTCTGATATCCAGATATTGTACTTTTAACACGGTAGCACGATGAGAAATGTAAATCTGTATCTTAGCAGAGCAATGTGTGAATCACGAGAGTCTTCAAGTAACTGAGATATGGCAAGTGGATTTATGACCTCTGTTATTTTACATCCAGGTGATTCATACCTTTGCTAGGACGCCAATGAGTATTACAGACGTCCAGTGAGCTGAGTCTAACGCCGCTCTGATTAATATGGGAGGAACGCCCTTAGTGAAACCTTCGAACAAGAGCGTGGTGCTGACGAAAATAGATACAAAGTGGGAGCAAGGCGGGATTCGAACCCAGCTCAAAGAATTCTGCGACTCTCGTGCCCGAAAAATTACAGACAAACATTCTACTTGTATGTTTGGTCGTAGGACGCATTATACCGTGAGTGTGTTTTCTCGGTGTGTAAACACAGCTATTTATCATGGATGTTTAGTCGTATACGCCAGATTAATTACTTACAAATAGCGAGACAACATGGCAACGTCTCCGGGAGCAGGATCAACAACGTTAATAAGTCCGCCACGTTTATACTGAACAAAAAGGTTCATGATGATTTGGGAGAATATTTTTGGAGTGAAGATTGAGCACACAATTTCATAAATATAAAAAAAACTCTTTCTTTGTTCAGTTCGTTTCAGTATGTGAATGAGTGAGTGAGTGAGTTTAGTTTTACGCCGCACTCAGCAATATCCCAGCTATATGGCGGCGGTCTGTAAATAATCGAGTCTGGACCAGACAATCCAGTGATCAACAGCATGAGCATCGACCTGCGCAATTGGGAACCGATGACATGTGTCAACCAAGTCAGCGAAACTGACCACCCGATCCCGTTAGTCGCCTCTTACGACAAGCATAGTCGCCTTTTATGGCAAGCACATGGGTTGCTGAAGACCTATTCTACCCCGGATCTTCACGGGTCTCGTTTCAGTATGTACGTGTACTTGAAATAACAGGATATGTTCCATCTCCTGGGATATCTACCACACTGAGTGCGGCTGACGCCCCGTGGACATGCTGTTCGGTCATACCACGTGCTATCGTAACGGGGTTGACTGACTGACTGACTGAGTTTGGTTTTACGCCGCTTTTAGCAATATTCCAGCGACATCACGGCGGGGGACACCAGAAATGGGCTTCACACATTGTGCCCATGTGGGGATTCGAACCCGGGTCTTCGGCGTGACGAGCCAACGCTTTAACCATTAGGCTACCCCACCGCCCCTCGTAACGGGGTTGAAGGCTGGTATGGTGATGTGAGCTATATCTGCTTCCACTTTGATGAAGGCCACGAGTGAGGGTATGGTGCAGAGAATTGCCATCTGGTTAAATCTGGGATATGAACCCACGAAGTCTGGATCGTTTAACCCTTGTCTGCACGAAGTAACGCGCCATTTTAGCCATCCCTGCCAGACACGACATCCGGATCTTTGCTTCTAGCTGTACACACACGAAGACGATTCAGCGTTAACCTACGACGCTATCATAGGTAAAACAAATCATTTGGCACAGAAACAAAACAAAGTGAGGAGTTTGGTCCAAGAGTACATCACCACTTGTGCAGATCGATGCTCATGCTGTTGATCACTGGAGTGTGTGGTCCAGATTCGGTTATTTACAGACCGCCGCCATATAGCTGGAATATTGCTGACTAAACTCGCTGAGTATGAGTACATCATCAAATCTCGACCTAGTGTCTGAACGCTCCAGGTCACACTGCTAGGTTGCAAGGACACATTCCACCCAGTCTTCCGTGGCTCTCACACTGGGGAAGAAGAGAGAGAGAGAGAGAATCTGATCCCTTCTTCCTGTGGAGGGAATGACTGTTAACTGTTTCTCAACCGCCATCAGACTTGACGAGATTCTTTTGTCCCAAATAATAAACACTTCTTTTCCCTTTCGGCAGGTAATTTTGAGCCATAGAGTGTCTAGTGCCTACCTTACTTTCACTGTAAGAAAACAACTCTCCTCTAAGCTCTCCCTTTCTCAAGGAGTGAGTGAGTGAGTGTATTTCATTCCGCTTTTAGCAATATTCCAACAATATCATGGCGGGACACCAGAAATGGGCTTCACACATTATACCAATGTGGGGAATGGAACCCCGGTCTTTGGCATGATGAGCGAACGCTTTAACCACGAGGCTACCCCACCGCCCCTTTCTCAAGGAACATTTTTTTCAAAAAAAAACCAAGCAGTGTCATCTTTCCTTTTTTATTCTTAAAAACCTACATTCCATTTATACATCCAAGGATCAGTATAACAATTCTTATATTGCACAGTTATTTCATATGTCCAAACACAAACAATCATTCTACAAGTGTTCATCGCTCTCGTGAAATATGTGTGTAATATGCATATATCCGCCACAACTATTCAGATTTAGGTAATGGGAATAACTCAAACAGCTGACACAAAGCTTAACTCACTCATCACCTGAGTAATGAAGGGAGAAAGTCTTAAGTGTTGATGGATGTCTTCTCAATGAATCTAGCGAGCTGGACCAAGATCCGGATGTAAAAATAAATCTGATATTTTGGGAAATAGTTTTCTGTGGAATGTGTTGTGTAAACGTTGATCAGCTTCGTCCTCATCATCAGTTTGTGGCCTTAAACCAATCAAATATACGCAAAGTACCTTTGGAGGTATCAATATAACATCTGGAATATTTACACCCAAAATATAAAGTCAAAATGGTCTGAGTTTATCATAAAGGATAAGAAAGCAACATACGCGATTTTCACAATCATGTCATGGGTTGAGGTGGGTCTGTTAGTAAAACCTTAGGTTGAACATGTTGGCCCTATGAAGACATGGCACCAAGATTCACTCAGCTCTCTCAGATCTCTTAGATAGAACATTACACACATAACCACACGCTTACACCGTTGGAAGGCAGACCTTTCATCAATATATTGTTTGTGAATTATGTGGATCTATTTCCGACACAACCTTGCTGTAAGTAATCTTTACAAGCGTAAATACTTAAGCTGTAATCACCATTCACGATTCATAGGTATTGGCACATGGTGAAGTTTAAACACGCCACAACCTCATTATTTTCAGTTTGATGACTATAGTATGCAATATGAATCATAATGTTTGTTATATACTATTCACACTTTGCTAAGGATCAAATCACTGATTCAACAGAAAACTATGATGTGGGGTCTAATTTGGTTTAAATATCTAAGCCTATTGTAAGCATGGATCCTAGGTTTCAGTATGTCATTTCATCTTGTGGATCCCACACCTGCTATTGACAGGTGTTGTGTACTTGAAAATGACTTGTTCCTGGATTTGCAAAATGGTTGATATATTATTATTTATCCAGTTATAAATGGATACAATTTCAAATTATAAATCTATTTTCAAGTAAAATTGGGAATTTTTGTGATCCTTAGCAAAGTGTGAGTAGTAGTATGGTTTTACAACAATTTCAGCAGTATTCCAGTATCACCACAAGGGGTTTCACACATTGTACCCAAACTGGGAATCGAATGACGAGTGTGAGCGCGCTTTCACCACTAGGCTAATGCACATCATTCAAATGCACATGAAATAATGACTGAAAATTTAATGTTTATTGAACATGAATAAACATGCATTAAACTCAGCATTCACCCCAAAATAAATATAATATACAACATTTACACTTTATTTCCTTGCTACAAACACAAAACATGAAGTGGTGTGAAACCATTAGGGCATCATTTTTTTTTATGTGTTTCGGTCGGTCAAAAAAAAAACTAAAAAAAAAATTAATAGAGACAAAATTATCTGAATAATATTCTTCATTCATTGTAATTCTTATTACAATTTCTTGCGTTCTTTGGACTTGTGGCAGCGACTGAATAAAGATAAACATTTTATATGAGGAAGCGGTACGTTTAAGGTTTGAGACAGCGGTGTCAGTCGGCAATAAACTTTAGAAGGGTGGGTTGGGGGGATGAGAAACACAGAATATAAAAATGCTGCCCTTACTACCAGGACAACTCCATTTACCATTCAAAATGTGAGCAGTTGAGGAAGGAGACACTGTGAGCTCATGTCTTCCTCGTGTACAGGATGTCATAATGAATGAAAACAAAAACCTGAACTGTAGCGGCCAACCATTGAGGAAGTAGGAAATATCTGAAGAGGATCTGCCACCAGGTCAAATTCATCGCTGTCATGATTATTGTTTATGACAGCAACGTATGTAAAGAAGGATCCATGAAGATCCGGGTTTGAATTTATCTTCAGTGACCCATGCTTGTCATAAGAGGTGATAATAGGATGGTCAGACTCACTGACTTTGTTGACACATGTCATCGAAATCCAATTGCATAGATCGATGCTCAATATGTTGATCACCAGATTGTCTGGTCCAGGCTTAATTGTTTTCAGACCCCCTGCCATATGGCTGGGATATGTGCAGCATTAAACGACAGCAACACATCTTTGTTGCATGACCTGCACTCATCAATATTCCAGCTGCGTGATGAAGGTCAGTAAATAATGGAAACTGGACCAGACAATCCAGTGATCAATATTGTGAACATTAAGGACATTAACCAGGTCATCGAGACTGACCATATGATCCACCTGGAAGTCTCTGATTACCAGCTTAGAACCCAGAATCCCCATCGGGACCAAACTAACCTCCACTTCCACCATACAAGTTGTCGTCCTTTCTGAAAAGTTGTTCAGGGATTTTGTATGGAAGAGTGAGTGAATTTAGTTTTACGCCACTTTTAGCCATATTCCAGCAATATCACAGCAAGGGACACCAGAAATGTACCAATGTGGGGAATCGAACCTGTGTCTTCAGCTTGTATGGCAGACCAATTGGGGGAAAATCTTAATTTGTTCAAAAGTGGGATTCCTTACTTTCAGATGAGCTTTAATAAAGTATTTTAATATTGTATTCAATAAAAGAAAGTCAACTTAAGTGGGAATGCATCTTTGTGGTTACTGATTGTGCCTTGGTCATTAAATCATGAGATGATTTTATGTTTGATGAAATGATAACAATAATCTGAATACATACCCAACACATATTTGGTTTCTTCACACAAAAAGTATACGAACTACCATTAATACCATTTGTTCATATTGTCTTATGTAAATATTCAGAGAGCATATATATATATGTATGTATGTATATATTTATATACAGGAAATGTTATGACACCATGAATTGTTTGTCAATCTCCAGAATATTTCACCAGGAAGTAGAGGTCAGCAAAAAACACCACTGTCCCGAATATCAACCCAGTCATCATTTGCTGAAACAAAGAAAATAATCGCATAAACAATAACCATGGTTACCACCAAAATTAAGGCCAAGGCTGCTTCCAGACTGCTTGGTGTTTGATAGTTTTGGTGTTTCATCTTTTTTTAGCACTTAATGGCTGGGTAGATTAACTGAGAAGTCATAGATATTGAAAATCACCTTTAACTGTTTAGAATGTTGCATGTTCAATTACGAGTGAGTGAGAATGTATTTATGCAACGTTTAGCAATATTCCAGCAATATCACGGTGGGGGACACTGGAAAAGGGCTTCACACATTGTAACCACATGGGAAATCGAACCCTGGGGCCCCTTTCACAAAGCGACTGTAGCGCTAAGACTGTCATAAGTCTATGTTAAAGTGTGGGAGTTACGATCGTCTTAGCGCTATGATCGCTTTGTGATATGGGAACCAGGTGTTTAGTGTGACAAGCGTTTGGGCTACCCTATTAGGCTACCTCACCACCCGAAAGAGAACAATTTTCTGGTTGTTTTCCTACCACGGGGAAGAAGTTTGGTCCGAGAGCGTACTCCGAAGCTTTGTAGCCCGAAAGCAAAGGCTCCTCCCACTGTCACAAGGAAGTTGAAGACGGCCACCAGATGGCGATTTAATGCTTTCACTGCAAGAACACAATAGATTTGTCTGTTTGTTGTTTAATGCCACAATCAGCAATATTCCAGCCATATGGTTAGGGACTGTAAATTATTGAGTCTCTGTTAAATGGTGATTAATTCATCTCTTATGACAAGCACAGGTTGTTGTAACCCACATGATCCAGAAGCACTGAAAACCATGGCAACATGACACTGCAACTCACCTGTGTGAGTCTGGAGTGAGTGAGGTTTTTTTTACACCACCTTTAGCAATATTCCAGCAATATCATGGTAGGGGACACCAAAAATGTGCTTCACACATTGTACCCATGTCGAGAATCGAACCTGGGTCATTGGCGTTACAAGCGAACGCCTTAACCACTAGGCTACCTCACCACACCTGTGTGTCTGGAATATTTGCAACAGGTTAAAAGGTGCAAAATAGAACCAATATGCAGACACAAACAAAATACATTTCTTCACATGACAATATGTATATCTTCTTCCATGTATCACAGGCTTATAGTACAGGCAATGAATAATTAAATGTACAAATCCTCAGTCAGTCAGTGCCACTCACTAATCTGTCATTAATGTGTAACAACATTCTCTTCCCACAGAGGTTACTTGTCATATCTTCACCTACGAACCTCTGTTCTAATACAGCCCTTTCATGGTGCGAGTGTTCAGGCTTCGTGATTGGTTGCAATGAGATTTAGTTGTGCAATCAGCGACGTTGTTTCAAATGTCATCAATCGCAAGGCCTCGGTAATTTCCGTATGCTTTGGGAAAACTAGAACCTCTTCCCCTGAGCGATGCGCAAACGTTTCTTCTAGACAGAACTCAGTCGTGTAATGGTGGATCAATGGCATCTCCATCGCCCTCGCTGACAACGGACAAGCTAGCCATTAAATGTCTTGTGTGTCACATTAACATATGTCCCCGGCAGAGGAGGGATATTTGTGGCCCCATATTTACTTGCATTAGTCAAGTTGGATCTAAGTCGATGTAACACGTGGCCTGATTGGATAGAAAGAAGGGAGATAATTTGTGTTGTGATTTTTTGCCGCTAGGGGATTTTACAAGAACCGGGAAATATGGCCCTATTAGAACAGAGGTTCGTAGGAAGATATGATAAGTAACCTCTGTGGGAAGAGAATGGTGTAACAAATACTTACCCTCTTGTCCAACATTCAGATCTAGCTGACCATCCTGAAATTTTAAGCAAGAAGATTGAAATATAGTAATGTTTAATCTCAAGTATTTTAAACTCAAAACGACAATCTACCTAAAAAATTACAGCTATCCTCAAGTGGGGTCTCAATATTTTTCCTCAACAAGAGAAAAGTTCATTTGGAAAGCATGTCTTCCTGAGAACTAAAACGGGAGGTAAATCCCAGTTATGCATGAGGTTTGCGTAATCTGTAATCCTGGTAATATTGTTGCTTGTTTCAGTCATGTAAGAACAATGTCATCTGACTGAATGTCTACTTTTAGCATCAATTCATCTTCCAGCAAGCATATCATGCTCTAATTTATATGTAATGCATTGGACAATCCATTATGGCTGTGTTGACATAACAAACAATTCCTACCTTCTGTCTGTCAATATTCCGAGTCATGTGTCGGTACTCCCTGTTAGATTGTTCAGCTTTCAGCTTCTGTATTCTCGCCTCGAGTTCAGGATTCTAGAAGATAAACACAACTGCAATTAGTGAACAATTAGGGATGGTGCTGGTGAACAGATATTTGAGGAGGTATATTAGTACAAGTTAAGGAACACACAGAACTAATTGCAACACCTCGGCCATGTTGACCAAACATGGAAGTTTCACCAAACCACTTCACCTACTCAGTCATGTCTTATTATCATTAATCATACAACACTTATAACAATCAAGATCAACTTACCACAGAAGGAAAACAAAACCAAAGTTATGTGCCTCTCTGTACATTTGGAGTTTAATCAAATCTACATCTGTTATGAACAGTTACTGTAAAACATTATGTCCAACAGTTTGCATTACTGCCCACAGGGCGGTCTATTTAGTATGCTGGCAATAGTATCAGAATTCTTATCAACATTTGCGTTAACGTACCCTTGGTGGCAACTTGACTGTTGGAAGACACACTTCACTCCCTTGCATAAGCTCGTGAAGATAAATCTTTTCTCCGTCTAAAGAAAGTATGTCATTTACAACATAACTGATGACACACAATAAAATAGCCTCGACATAAAACATTTTCTTGCCTTATTTTCTTCTCGAAACATTGTGTATCATCATCACACTATTTGCATTGGTAAACATAAATACAATCATAACATCTGCATTCCCGAAGAAGTGAAATGAATTCTTTGATTGGCATTCTAGAAGTTGGGTAGATGAAGGATGAGGACTATTTTTATGGATATACAACTTCTTTATTCTGTATAGGCGAGGTTTCGACATAGATTCTAATGTCGTTGTCAAGTAAGTGATTCATCAAGTGTTTCATCACTTACTTGACAACGAAATTAGAATCTATGTCGAAACGTCGCCCATACAGAATAAAGAAGTTGTATATCAATAAACATAGTCCTCATCCTTCAAGTGAAATGATGAGTACGTCTATAAACAGGTTGGGGAAACCTACTGATCGGCCTATAAAAGGCCCGAACAGGATATTAAAGGCCGTTCTGCCTGTTTTGCTATAGGCCAATCGGGCTATATTTGACCATTATTATTATTATTTCACAAACTATCAATTTCTGAATGAAATGGTTTTAATGTTCATAGAGATGAATAGTTAATGGACCTCCTCAGCTTGAAAAAAATAAGTTTTTAGATAAAATGGAAACTTATATAATGTTCAGGAAAAGATGTTTCATTTAAGAACACAATTTTGCACAGATTTTCATTTTGAAAACTAAAACTGATTATCTATGGCATTAATTTTCAGTGAAAATTGTCAAAAATATTATAGACTTATATTTAATTAGCAATTTCCAAACCCCTTTATTATGTGATCAAAATGCTCAAAAAGGGTTTGAATGAAAACCTTAGGACATCAAAACTTGAATGATGTTAGTAATGCTGAAGGGGTCGTTTTCGGGGATAAGGTGGCCGTCGTACCTGGGGGTACGTATCTGTAGTACCTGTGCCGACAACGGCCCCTTCAGTGTTAATATCCTCATGTGGAAATGCACCACTTTAAATTTATTTGATAAATATCATAATTATAGGTCAATCGGCGGAATGGCCTATTATATCCCATTTGGCCTATTATAGGCCGATCGGTAGGTTACCCCAACCTGATAAAAGAAATATCGCCTGGAGTAGTAAACAAATGTGAGAGTTATCTCCCATTTCTTAAAACCCATTTCACGCACCTTCATTCAGGATTTCATATACTTTCTTGACCAAACGAAATGGTATCCGTTGATTTGTCTCATCACAATAGCTCTCTAGTTCCGATCTTAGATGTTTACTTGATTTGTCAAGACTTAGAACGTCAGAAATACGTTTGCGTAAATATTTTGTATGCTGAACTTCTAGTTCCGCTGACTCTATACCCTCCATTTTGGGAAATGACGTCAGAGAGGACGGGTCCATATAAAGGGGGGTGAGAAATTGTGTTCTGAAGACAGTCAAGATTACTAAAAGTGCATCAACATGCACAAGCCTAGGTGCTATAAGTGATTACACGATTGTAAATCATAAAATACATTAAAGTATCTTATCGTCGAGTTCCAAGTTCAACTCTGACGATCACATGGGAACATGTTCACGCCTCTTAATGATAATTCATTGACCCTAAAGTAATTGAACGAAAATGGCGTCCATGTGGTGGGCACAGGACAATGCTCCTGAGACGGCCAGGACGAACAGTGAACTTGAAGATTTGTTTGTATTTGGTTATGCCTGTAAAGTGTTTCGGGATGATGAAAAGGCATCTTATATCGATCAAGGGAAACACCTTATCCCATGGATGGGCGACGATCGTCTTATGATTGACAGGTCTGTGGCTCTTCCAGTGGAATATTCTAAGAAGTTTCGAATTTCTCGTGTTTACAAATCGCGCGGGTCCTAATTCAAGATTAATTTGCAGGAACAACGGTCTTGTAGCTAAGTGGTAATGGTTTGTGTTGTTTGCTACCGGAGGTGACATGACAAGGGAAGGGAGAGAACTCCTGGCTTCAGAGGCAACAACCCACCTACACCGCAGCTGTCAAATGGCAGATGGCCAATGGAAATATTCTGCACAATCTATGTCATCAGTGACATGGGACATTATTTAGAAAATTGTGCAGATATGTTTTTGTTTTTAGCCATGGGTGGACAAAAACCACCATCTAAATGTTTTCGTTCCAGATTGAAGTGTTGACAGACTCCGTCTTTGTTGGTGTGGCCTCATATTGGGTATGAAAATGGTTTGATGAAATGTTCATCTTTTCTGTCACTTAATAAATAAACTTTGGCAAACTTGATTGTGTCAAGAGGTACCTGTCATGTCAAAGATAAAAAATTTGGAGGTAAGAAGGGAACTATTATGGTGTCAAACATGTTTAATCTTAAGAGATTTCTCCACTGATTATTTGGCTTCAAACATTGCATCAAACATCAGATAGAAGAAAGAATTTCTGAAGAACTGTTTGAGAAACATGCATATGTTAAAATGCATCTGTTCCAGATAGATTAGTTCAAAACTGTCTTTGACAAGGTACACCAAATTGCCTGTACTTATCATAAAAATATGAATAAGTAATTAGGACTAAACATCAGGTAACCATTTGAAAATTACTCTTTAACTGAGCAGTTATTGCGTATTGTTGTGGTGCCATATTGTATCTGGTTCCATTATGAAACGACTTCAAAAGTCAGTGACTTTTGATATATTGTTGAAGAATTTGTGCTGAGTTATGACCTTGACTTGGCAGGTACGACGGCCGAGGACATCTGTATGACCTGTCTGCGTATGATGCTGAGAATGTCAAAAAAGAAAACATTGAGTTGTCTGAGACTGAGACAGCTGTTGAAACTGCCTGTGATGAAGAACGATATCTGGAACTACGAACAGATATTGCAGAAGCAGAGTTATATCAAGGTAGAAATATTTGGCAGTGTGTTACTGTTAGTTACAGTACATTGTTGCATGTGTTAATGTATTGACTTGAGTACACATTTTGAAATGGGTGTGTCTTGTGTCACTGTCATGCCTATGAATTTCTTTCAAAATCAGCCAAAACTGTAGATCATGTGAAAGTCATCTTACAAGACCAGTTTTTGGAAATTGTATTGATTTAAACATATTTTCAAAGTTTAAACACTTTCGACTAAGCCCCTGTGCTAAGAACAAGATTAATTTCAACACCTCAAAATCACATAAGATCAAACATTTTGACATGGAATTTTTGTTATTGTAAGAATATGCTTGTGATGTGAATGAACATCATGCTATGCCAGACCTCTCATTGTTTTATAAGTAATGTCTTCATTTTACCTGATGCTGAAATGTGTGTCATGTATAAAAATGTCGAAAATGGTCGCAGAAATAAATGTATATTGTGTCAAGAGCAATGCAGGAAAGCACTATAAATTCATGAGAAGAAATATATAGTTATTGTAAGTAAAGCAAGTAGGAAATGTTACAGTTAGCTGCACCATTAAGCCATGACCTTCATGTTTCCAGTAAAGACCCTTAAAAGTAGTAATTAAAGTATAGCCAGAAATGCTTGGAAAATGCTTTTTTGGCAATTATTTGATAATGGTTGATATTTCAGATTCAAAACTCATATATAATCCTTCATACAACCTCGACCTTATATGGCATATGAGTAATCACGATGTACCATTCCCTAATCATAATGATTACTCGTAAAATATCGAAAAACTTAGAAAAAATTCCATGGGAGAAACACTTAAAAAAAACAAACTATACTGTGACCCACCTGGCAGGCAGACAGGGTTACAGCATTATGTAACGCACAGGCAGTGCATGTCAGGGACCGTCTCAAAATATCAAGTGTCAGTATCACTGCTGGTCGAGGACTTTAGCGGAATTACAACAGGTGCAACTTGGCTGACGTTAACGCTGTCCCGCAGACGGTATTCGTCCTCGATTTTGAGAACACGGTCTTCAGCCTTTTGCCACACTTCTGGGCTAATCCTCGCAAAAGAAGCATACACAAGCTCTTTAACGTCTGAAAGCTTGAATGTGGTATTATTGCGAGCAATAAAATTCTTACAGTTACCCCAGATCAGCTCAATGGGATTGAGCTCACAGTGCCGTACTGGTGTACGCAGAACTATGTGGCCTTGTTTTGCAGCTAGTTCGTCAGTGATGTACTGGATTGGCTTTTTGTGCTGCCGGACTTTTTCCATGAGCTAGGGGCTTTGTTTCTGATTGCCTGTAAGGCACGTTACAGGAAGTGAAAAAATCCTGCAACTGAGCCTTGAGATTGCTCATGGTGGGTTTGATGGTACCAGGCACAAGCAGGTTATGGTAACTGGCGTTTTCCAGAATGATAACGCTTGGTTCCTCCAGCTGGGGTAAAAGCTGATGTTCGAACCAATCCAAAAATACCTGCCCATTCATTTCGCTATGGTAATCACCAGATTTCTTGGCCTCAAAAACAAAGTCACAACCCCCAATCAATCCCTTGCTACGGGTATCCGGATGTAAGATGATCAAGTGTCTGTCTACCTTTACCTGATGGTAACACGGGTTTCCTTAGAACAATCTGAAGGAAGCCACATCCGATCGGTTAAGTGATTTTTATTACACCAGGTTTCATCAAGGTGTATGATTTGAAACCCCAAATTGCGGTATTCTTCAACTGTTCTGAGATAAGCTGATCGCATGGACAGGATTGTGTACTTTTCTCTAAACACAGCTCTGTCATCTCCCATTTTGGTGTACCTGAACCCCATTTCTACCAGAGCTACAATAAGTGTTGTTTTCGAGACATTTATTTTATCTTTGATCTCATCTTGTATTTTAGCACACGTCAGTAGGATTTTGCGTTCACACAGTTTATAAACTGCACAGCGTTTGACACCCTTATCAAAGCTATCCAGTTTGTGTTTCCTACCTGGTTTTGATTTTGACACAACCCCTGAGGTAACTGATTTGTTTACATAAATTACAACTTTGTAAACCTGACTATATGTCAAATTAAGGGATTTACACATTCTATAGTAAACCCTGTCATAACTGACGAGAGGTTTCCCCCTTTGTTTCTCTAGTATGAAATACTGGTATAAATTTGAGTTAATTGTTCTGCAGAGATATCAAATCGCATGTTGCCAGTTCAATGCTCATACACGAAGTGAAACTTCTATGGGTCAACAAGATTATCTATGCGATTTGACTTAAGACTTTTTTATGTAATTATATTGAATATAACTACTACAAGAGTTCCATCTTTTTCACATATAGATGTTTAAAAAACCCTAAATTTTTGCAATCATTGATGTAATTTAATTAGTTGAGGCTATGTGAATAATTATAGTCTGTATTTCAAACCTACAGTTTGTACTTAAAATATTTACAAATGTTGTTAAAACGTCAAAATTTCCTCCTGTGAAGTCATCCCTCAAGTTCATTTTTTTCATCTGAGCTTTAATATCCAACTAGGTAGAGTCGTACATGTATCATATATGTGCTTTTGTCTTGTGTCAAATTAATCATTTTGATATTGAAGCCAAAAAGCATTTTCCAATCATTTCTGGCCTTACTTTAGGATCCGCTGGACCCCTAGTTTTGTATGTAAAGGTCAAGGTAGAATCCACCGTGTATACTGCTGGGATTTAATTGGAGTCCTGTATTTGAGGGTCCCTGGGACTCATACTCTTAATTTTCAGGGGTCCTGGAGAACAACTTAAATATTATTATCAATACTGTTATTGTGTTGTGTATCATGATCATCGCATTGTTACAGTAATTAAATTGCAAATGATACCATAACCCAGCTAGTACTAGCAGCGAACTGGAATTTTTACAAAAAGTATTTGAACTTTGTCTGCATCCCTGTGGATGCACTTATAAATTTTGTTGCGCCCATTGTCAATTTTTATGTGTTTAGGATGCAGGAATTCGCGTCCTGTAAATCCCTGTACTGTCTACAGCACTGTAATGTATTGCAAATCCTTCGTTTTCCCAGAGGAGGAATGGAAGCGTTACTATGAGTCCCTGCATGATGGTTACAAGGCAGTTGGGTTCAGCTACGACCAGCCTGTGGAAGATACATTGGAGCAGCAGCAAGGTATGTTTACAGTCAGCTGCTAATGTCCTTTAAAATGTCAGGATTGGAATTTAAACATTTCCCAGTTCAAGCGGTTGTAGTGGCTTGTGGAGGTGACTTGTATTTGATGGATCACAAAGGGTAGTTCAGATGAAAATGCTTTAATGCTTAGTTTTACATGTGCATTGAAGGCTGCATAAGGATTCAATGTTAAGATATCTCTGGATTAGGATAGTAAGAAATTTTTAATTACTTCACTCAATAAAAAAATAAATTTTCCTTATCCTGACACATGATTACTGCTTAACTCCCTTCTCCTTCGACGGTCAAGTGGAAACCTTGAATCCTATTCAAATTCACTGGAGCGTCCGTACAATCACTCACCCTGAGTTACCTCCCTTATTCCCACCAAACCGGTCCCACGTGACCTGAGACCAGCTCTTATCACTCTCTCCTTCATCGCCCTCGCCGACGGTCGGGCGGTCCTGACGGGTCCTATTTGCGGCAGATATCCTTTCCTTTCGGCCTTATATCATCAATTGTGGCCGCAGATTGTATTTAGATCCATATTAGTTGTATCCATATGTATATTATTATGTAAAATTCTACTAAAGTTACGCATTTTCACTTCGTTGCAGGTGAGGTGTTGTTCAATGGTGGCATGTCAGCAATGCAGATTGAGGCTATCTGCGTTCGATCCACATCCTGTTTGCTCCTCTTGTTGCCTTCATACTTGTTCTTTTGATTCACGGTGCCAATATTGCATTAATTTATCAACACAATTATTTACTAAATATTTATCAGCCTGCTTACGCAGGACTATAGATAAACAACATTGTGTAAACAAGTCAGCGGTAAGGGGTAGTTCTCTTACAACTGGTACTGAAATGTCACAACATAATAAGGAGAATTTCCCAGGGATTTCTCCCGTTTCTGTCACGCTTTCAGCAACAGCTACGCAGTCTACTTCCAAGAGAAAATCACCTCCGACAGAGGAGACTGAACTACAACGCCTGGCGAGGAAGAAACGATCGTCTAGATTGTCTGCAAACTCTACAACTACGAGATCTACATCGTGTATATCTACTAGATCATCAGATACACCTATGACATTTGAGAATGCCATATCTCGACTCGACAGATCACCACCGGTTTTAGAACCGCAGATCATCTTGACTTCATCTCAGACATCTACTAGTACTCCGAGAGAGTTAGCGAAGTCAGGTTCGCAATAACATACGTCAAAATCATCATCGTCGTCGTGGAAGAAACATTCATCCCAGCGTAGATCATCGAATACTACAGGGTTCGCGAACCCTCCAAGCACATCGTCAGGGGTTATAAACCCTTCTCGACATCAGGGTTCGCGAACCCTTCTACAGACAATAAGAATAGATTGTCTCAAACATCAGAGACTACGTCTACTGATCATGTAACTTCTACGAGAACTACGCAAAGTGAGTCAAATCAGACAACTGTTGCACTACAGACGGAAAGAGAATTTTCATCTGACGGGGTTCGTGAATCCCCTCAACAACAGAGAGTTTCAACGCATCAGCAGGCAGATATAAATCAACCTTTCGCGAACCTGACTGGTTCAATGAATACACCGGTAGATCAGGATTTTGTAGCCAGTATTACACGCCAAGTAGTTTTGGCTATGCAACAACGTTCATCATCAGACAATCAGAATAGATCGTCTCAAATATCAGAGACTACGTCTATTGATCATTTAACTTCTACGAGAACTACGAAAAGTGCATCAAATCAGACAACTGTTGCACTACAGACGGAAAGAGAATTTTCATCTGATTGTTCAACGAATACACCGGTAGATTAGGATTTTGTAGCCAGTATTACACGCCAAGTAGTTTTGGCTACGCAACAACGTTCATCATCAGATAATCAACAGACGATTACACAGGCTACAAATGAGAGTACTCAGGAGGAGACACACACTTCAGAAACGAGTTTACAAGAATCGGAGGAACCTACAATATATCCTGATGCAGAAGTATTATCTTGGATAAGAGATGGGTTACCAATTGCTTCACCAACACACAACGAGAATTCATCCGAGACTTATCGTATTATAGATAAGGATCTTGAGACATTAACTATACCACCTATTAAACCTATATCACAGGTTTCATCAAACCTCAAGTTAACATTCGCGAATGCTACCAGACATCAAGGTCAACATACACCATCATTTAATGCAAGGAAATTTCCACTACATAGTATGGAACAATTCTTCAGGGCACCAGAGATTGACGATGATTATTATCTCATCAATGAATCTAAATCACACAACTACGAAGTAGAAGACAGGGAGCTGGCCAAATTAGAACGACGACAAGGCGTACATTCTTTGGACTAGCCAGATCTAGAGCCATTAATGAGGCTCTAATCAACAACTTCCAGAATCCGACAACAGAAACAGAAAGGATGATATTGTCACCGTTGGTCTTACACAAGAAGGATCAGGAATTTATGTCTGATCATTTGGCATCAACATCAGCAGGACTAACCCTACTTCGTCGTCAAGGACTACTTGCATCTTGCAATTGGCCAGATTTTCATATTAAGGTGCTTCTACGACAACCATGGGCTGCGTCCACTTTATTTGATGGAAGTATTAGATCGACATCACGGGAAGTATGTCAGGGCAACAGAGATCAGATGCTCATCAGATCTATGCAGACGATGAATAACATGTATCGACAATCGTCACGAAGAGGACAATTTCGTTCAAAGTTCCCAGGCATACAAAGGCCAGAGAAAAGAGAGCTCCCGGAGCTCGAGAAGGTAAAAGAACTAATTTTCGTTGTCCATATGACAACTCAAGAGGACGATCCGGGGGAGAGGTCGCTCATCAGGATCCTCCCGTTCAACACGTCAATGAAAATCAGCTTCGGACCAACTGGGTTGTCCCTCCTCCAGTCGGGCCAGTGAAGCCCACATCAGTGGGGGGACGTCTAGGTCTGTACTGGAAAAATTGGGAAATACTACAAGACAACTTTGTGGTACAAGTCTTACGTGAAGGCTACAGAATTCAACTCAAGGCGAGACCACCTCTCACCATTATACCACAAATACATCATTATTCAAACCAACAATGCATCAAGCTATCAGACGCTATCAATTCACTACTGACAAAGAATGCAGTAGAGATTATAGAAGAAAACAGTCTCACGCCAGGATTTTATTCCCCGATATTTCTAGTACCCAAAAAGAACTCCACAGAGAAGTTCCGTCTCGTATACAATATGGAACGATTCAACCTAGACTTTCTACCGAAACCACAGAAGTTCAAGATGCTTCATCTACCTCAACTGAGACACTTAATAAGACCCAACGATTACCTAGCCAGCATAGATATACAGGATGCGTACCTACACATCTCCATACATCCAGAATCAAGGAAATACCTACGATTCCTATATCAAGGGAAGCACTATCAAAGGAAAGTACTCCCCTTTGGAATTTCATTGGCCCCGAGGCTATTTACACGTGTCACCAAACCAATTGTGGCGTTTCTACATCAGAGAGAGGTTCGCAATGTCTTTTATCTGGACGACGGCATTCAGGCAGATCAGTCAGCAAATCAACTCAAACATCAGCTAGATTTGACGATTCAACTACTAACTCAACTATGATGGTTAGTCAACAGGAGGAAATCAGAACTATGTCCGTCACAGGAATGACAATTCCTGGGAATCAAGTTTCTCACCAGAGAAAATCGAATTGTACTCCCACAGGAATGATGGGATATTATACAGAAATGTCTACACATCGCCTTGAACGAACCTCGCCTGATAAGAGAGTGGCAGAGATTATTGGGCCTCCTAACGTCAGTTCAATCCCTAACTCGCAGGGAAAGGTTACAACTACGTCCAATTCAGTGGTTCTTAACACCACATCTGGAAAATCTACAACCCATAAGTATTCCTCAACACTTGAAGGAATACCTAATGTGGTGGACAAACAAGTTGAATGTTTGCTACGGAACTTATTTGAAAGAGCCGGTATACAGACTACATCTGTATGTAGACGCATCCCTACAAGGAAGGGGAGCGCACTTCAACGACAAAGTCGCCCCAGGAGTTTGGTCACCAATTGAAAAGAAATTACACATAAATCAACTAGAACTCAAGGCAGTTATAGAGGCAATTCAACATTGGGCGCATGTACTCAGGAATAAAGTTCTCATGATACACACAGACAACTTAACAGTAGCGTTTTAGATAAACCTACAAGGATCAACAAAGTCAGCGCCTCTACTAAGACTAACATTTCAACTATTCAATGTAGTAGACAACCTCAATCTGTGGATAAGAGCTTGTCACATTCCGGGAGCGAAAAACGTCCTAGCAGACACCTTATCCAGACCGATGAGACCATCACCTACAGAGTGGAAATTACACCCGGAAGCATTTCTACTGATAACGAGAGAACAGCGTTGCCCTCTCATAGACCTCTTTGCAACACGATTCAATCATCAGATTGTAACGTTTGTCTCACCAGTACCAGATCCACAAGCATGGCCAACAGACGTCCTCACCATATCATGGGAAGGTCTAAATGCGTACGCCTTACTAGCCGGCGAGAACATGGTTTCCAGACCTAATAAGCTTATTAGGGGAGCCAATACTAAAACTTCCAGATTGGCCAAACCTACTGATTCATCCTCACACAAAACAACTGCACAGCAATCCAACAAATCTCAGACTACACGTATGGAGCGTATCACGCACTGTTTGAAGAAAAGAGGTTATTCCACGAGAGCTGCTAACGCAGTTACACTGGCCTTAAGACATTCAACCCGTAATCTGTATGATGATAAATGGAGGAATTTTTTATCAATTTGCTACAAGCAAACAATTCACAGCAGCGGAAGCAACACATCCGCAAGTAGCAGTATATCTCTGCCAACTCAGATCAACCAAACAATTGAAAGGATCAACACTTTCAACATACTTAGCAGCAATCAGTTCGGTGATTACCACAAACTCGGGAGTTAAACTCACCAAAGTTCCTGAGGATCAACAACGGAAATTTAGAGCTCCATCATGGGACCTCAATATAGTGCTACAACATCTCACAAGTGAGGATTATGAGCCTTTACAAGATGCAACTTTTGAGTTCCTCACTCAAACAACGATATTTCTCCTTGCCTCAGCTACAGCAGCTAGAATGTCAGAAATACATGCTCTTGACTTCGCACCAACGAGGTTCGACACAGGAGAGCATGCAGCAGTCCATTTAGGACTGAGATGGGATTTCATAGCAAAGAATCAACTTCCTGGTCAACCAGATCGTCAATTTCATGTACCAGCACTGTCATCAGTCCTTGGACATCAAGACAGAAAGGATTTATCCTTATGTCCAGTAAGAGCTTTAAGAATCTACTTACAACGAACTACGACAAGAAGGAGAAAGTTTAAACGTCTTTTCATCTCATTATCACCTGCTACATCGATTGAGGTCTCACGAACCACAATATCCTTTTGGATTAGAGCAGTTATTTTGAGAGCCTACAAAACAGCAGGATTACCGCCACCTACAGCATGCAATCCACACGAAATAAGAGCATTAGCATCAACACTCGCACTACATGAGAATTGCTCGTTATCATCGATCACGGAAGGCTGTTTTTGGAGATCGGACACGGTGTTTGCTAATCACTATCTACGAGATATTGCGACAGAGGATGTATCAGGCATTCACCAGTTCGGACCACTAGTAGTGGCTCAACAACTCACAAATCCAACCAGACATTGAGAACTCACCCTAATCACGTTGACTTGTAGACGCTAGGCAACTGTCCCATTGCCACCAGCAGCAGAGAGTCCATGCCCACCTGACTTACTTGAGAAGTCAGAACATGAGTGATATAAACCTTGTTAAGTAATAGGCCTTACTTAACTTATTGGTTGCAATACCAGTTTCGGTAATAGTCCTTACCTTAACATATGGATCATTTGGAATATCTAGAATACTAGATTATCTAAAACAACGGAAATCTATAAGATTTACTTCTCTTAATCAATTAAGAGTAGGTTGTCCCCCCTATATGACGAATTCACAAGGGAAGGCAACAACAGGATTTTACAGGGGGTAAGCGTTCGGACTATATATAGACAGCCACAGTGAATCCCGTTAGGTGGCTGACCCACCACCTATTCCGTCGGATTTCATAAGCAATAATCATGAGTCAGGATAAGGAAAAATATGTAATTTTTATGATAAAATTATTATTTTTATACTTATCCTGACTCATGAGATAAGCCTTCCCGGCCGTCCCCACTCTCAGCATTATGGTTCTTCACTGTAAGTCGCAATGTGGGCATATTACGGAGAGAGTGATAAAAGCTGGTCTCAGGTCACGTGGGACCGGTTTTGGCGGGAATAGGGGAGGTAACTCAGGGTGAGTGATGGTACAGACGCTTCAGTGAATTTGAATAGGATTCAAGGTGTCCACTTGACCGTCGAAGGAGAAGGGAGATAAGCAATAATCATGAGTCAGGATAAGTATAAAAACAATAATTTTATCATAAAAATTACATTTTTGCTGCCAAGATTATTTTGCAGCATCGCTTAACCATACCAGGATCTTCTCATCAACAGTCGTTGATATTTGATCCAAGTCAGAGATTTTTTACACCTGCTCAGAGGTTACTATTCAGACCCAAATCTGTAGCTTGTGACTCTAAAATTCCCCAAATTAATGGAAAAAAAGAAGAATAAAGTGAAACTAATTTCAAACAATATCAAAATATTGGGGTTTATTAAATTTTCCTTCTAAGGGCACTTTGTTCAGTATCCTGGATAAATCCCTTTATGGTTTGTTTGACCAAGGTGAGTCATCTACAACCTGTGTCATGCAGCGCTCTCCTTCCACATTTTACTGACACAGTGGCGCAACTGAAATATTGGAACCTAGGAGGTGACTGTCTTTGTTTGTGGTTTACTTTTATTTTTATTTAATTCCAGGATTAAAAGAAATAGAAGATGACAAGCCCTTTGCTCCCCCACCAGAACTACAAGTGCCTAAAGGTGTTACCTTGGTACGTATTCTAGGTGATCCTTCATCTTATCCAGAACAGGTCATGTGTACATCTGGTTCTTAAGCATTTTCAGCTTAGTTTTGTGAGTCCAAATGATTGACTCCCAGGGAGAACTGGGTTGGGGAACATTTGCCCCTCGATCTCTCCCTCCCACCCCACCCCCACCCCCATTAGTGGGTAACATTTACTGTATTCCTCATTATAATATCATAATATCAACCATTGGTTTGCCTGGCCCACACTTACTGTCTGACTTGTAGTTATGTGTGAATTCCTGAAAAGTTTATAGCCAGTCTTTGCACACTAAACCTTTAAATATCTCTAATCAAACAGATTCGGGGGCATCCTTGGACATTTTCTCATGTGTTTAAGGATGGCATGAGGGCTCACTGGTTAGCTTGTTAATTGGTTAAAATACTCTCCATGGAAGCCCAAGTATTGATCACATGATCCTGTGATTACAGCCAGCCAGCAAGAAGGCTAATGCCATCATTGAGAAGACTGCGAAATTTGTGGAGGAACACGGAGCCCAGATGGAGATCATCATCAAGACCAAGCAGTCGGGCAATCCCCAGTTTGACTTCATGCACTTCGAGAACGAGTTGTCGCAGTACTACAAACACATGGTGAAGATGATCAAGTCTGGGAAATACAAACCACAGACCCAGGAACAAGAAGACGAAGGTCAGACTTCGTTGGCAATTCATTTAGTTAAATGGAAAATTATTATATTAAAAATGAAAAAATTATCTCCTAGTAATATGCATGTTTTGTATCCATTTTGTGAGTTTAATGGTTGTTTTTTTTAGTCGCGGCCTTGTCTAATATCCCATGTGACAAATTTATTTTTCAGGCCATGAAGACGAGGATGACGATAATGGCTACCTTCACCCACTGCTAAACCCAACATCAGCAACGCAGGTGAGAATATGTAACTATCTTTACGTTGTCTATGTATTTAAGTAACTATATTATACTTGTGACACGTGTAAGAATTTACAACTTATTAACTCCAAATCTATGTATGTCTGTGCAACTATAAGCATTGAGACCAACTACACTTGTAAGTGAAGTTCATGTTTTCGCTGTGTATTGTACAAACAGATTTAATAATAAGGTGCAGCGATACAATGAGGCTGCAAGAAGATATGCATCCCAGTAGGACAGTGATCTGGTGCAATCTGTATCCTAATACAGTACATGTATTTCATAAGTTCATATTATCTCCCTTTCTGCAGGTAAATCACATACCTGAATCATTTGTTTTTAAGTTTCTGACAGGGATGATGGGATATTGTAGAGGAGAAAGATATATGTTTGGGGCACTTTGAAGATTCTGCTATTTATAGCCAACCGGGAAATAATAGGGAATCTGCATAAAGTGGTTCTTGAACACTTTCTGTTATTTGTCAGATGTTTTTACAGACTTGTAATGTAATATATGAATGCATTATACTACAGAAGTTGTAACTCGATGTAATGCATCGTGAATCTCGTAAGGCGATACAATACTGTATTGGTATGTCATTACACTACTAGTAAACAAAGACAATTTTGCTTTATTTTTCAGCCAAGCAAACCAATAAAGATGCCAGCTGTCTCTATCAATGATACTCCATATGGTCAGCTGATTAAGTCTATTAAAAGGAATTCGGCAAAAGTTGCAGAAAACAGGTATGTGTGAGTCTGAAAGAGGTTTGCTGTCTCGGGACAAGCTGTTCCGAAATGTATCCACTTCATGGGTAAGGTGGCCGTGAGTCCACTCTGATGGGTCTCGCCAAAATGCCTATATCAGGAGAGAGAAAGTGAGTGATTTTAGTTGTATGCTGCACTCAGCAATATTCCAGGTATATGGTAAATAGTCTGTACCAGACAATCCAGTGATCAAACAGCATGAGCATCGATGTTTGCAATTGGGATAAGATGACATGTATCAACCAAGTCAGTGAGCCTGACCACCCGATCCCGTTATGAGAAGCATGGGTTACAGAAGATCAGTGCTCACCCAGATCTTCATGGATCGGACACAGAAAGTAAATATGCCCCCAGCAATCTGTGGCGCTTGTAAGAGTCAACGAAATGGATTGAGGGGTCAGGCTTGGTGATATGGTTGACTGCATGTCATTGTACCCCTTGTGTGTGTGTGTGTGGTGTGGGGTTGTCTGGTCCAGGCTTGATTGGTGGCAGGTCGCTATAATATATGTTGAATATTAACACAGCTGTGTTAAAGAACACACATAGTTTACGTGTGATTGGGATAAATGAAATTTTTAGTTTAATTTAGAATTAATTTATAATAAATGATCAAGATTGTCAATATGAGATAATAACAGTAAAAAATTGTCATTGTATCCTAAATGGTATAATAAAATTATTGTTGAGAAAAAAATACCAAAGCAGTTAACTTTATCATCCCAATGACCCCATAAACGCCACTTATTTTCGAACACTGCTATCACAAAAATCGTTTGTGATAATTGTTTTACTATCTCCAGTGTTTTTTAAGCCCAGAAGTGTTTCCACTGTCACCATGTTAAGTACTTATGTCACATGTAATGAAAGTACTGCTCTTGTTTACAGTTCATCACTGGGTGACAGGGACACCCCCCCTCTTGCCCCACCCCCAATGCCTCCATTTGCAAACCAGACAGTATATCCCTCCGCCGCCCACACTGGCCTCCCCCCTCCCCCTGGTACAGAGCCTGTGGTGCTGCCGTCATCGGAACTACCTCACATCCAGGGACTCCATCCCAGGAGGGCCATGAAGCAGGAGGATGAAGGAGGGTGAGCAAACCATAGTGTTTCCATTTGTCACACACAGATATAGTATGTAAAGCATGGAAATATTCAGGAAATTAGACTCTGGGGCTTGATAAGTCTCCAGTATCAGATCCATTGCTTCTTATTAGAGCTTGTTTAAATGTGTGGCAGAAGGTTACAGGCTGTGACCTGGTTGTGTTCCCGATGCTTCAAGTCGTTGGTCTTGCCACCCGCCTCTGATGTACCTTTGTCATTGTCTCCAGCCTCTGATCTACCTTTATCATTGTCTCCAGCCTCTGATCTACCTTTATCATTGTTTCCAGCCTCTGATCTACCTTTACCATTGTCTCCAGCCTCTGATCTACCTTTACCATTGTCTCCAGCCTCTGATCTACCTTTATCATTGTCTCCAGCCTCGTATACCATCGTATATAATTGATGTCAACATTTGTGTTTTCAGAGGTAGTGCGGCAGTCAGTCAGATAGTCCCACCCCCTCCTGACATTCAGCCAATCATAGACAGGATGGCGATGTACGTGGCAAAGAATGGGGTTGAGTTTGAGATCGTTGTTAAGAGCAAGGATGACACACGCTTTCAGTTCCTTCATCCCTGGCATGTCCACTTTCCGTACTACGACTTCAAGAAAAAACTCTTCCTCAAGGTCAGTGTATGTCAGCTGTTATTTAGCCCCAGGGGCAGTCCTAGGTGGAATATTTACTCATCATCCTATTCAGATTTCTCTGTGGTGATTCAGTGTTGAGATTACTCCCCAGCAACTGATCCTTAGTTTCTGCGATGACATAGAAAAATGCATCTGTGAGGATCTGGGTAAGAATTGATCTTCAGTAACCCATGCTTGTCGTAAGAGGCGACTAACAGGATCGGGTGGTCAGGCTTGCTGACTTGGTTTACATATGTCATCGTGTCCCAGTTGTGTAGATCGATGCTCGTGCTGTTGATCATTGGATTGTCTGGTCCAGACTGGATTATTTGCAGACTGCCACCATATAGCTTGAATATTGCTGAGTGCGGCGTAAAACTAAACTCACTCACTCACCTACCTAAGTGGAATATTCTCACACCGCATCCTATTCAGATTCTCTGTTGTTATCCTGTGTTGAGATTATTCACAAGTTACCTATGCTAGTTTACTCTTAGTTACAAGAGGCAACTTAACGGACCAATTGGTCATACTTGGAGCCTCATGTTTTTGTCTGATGTCTTCACAGCATGAACGGTTGCTCATTAATTCAATCACAACCTGTGCTAAAACCTTTGCTTCCACAAGCCGAAACTTGGTCCTTAGCATAATTTTTAGATTTTAGTGCCAGCATTTGGCATTTATTAGCTGATTTTTCAAAACCAAACAGTTTTACTAGCCTTGGGGAACTGACTAATGACTAAAGTCGCAGGTTGCAATCACTGTATTTTCTGGTCCCGAAAATTATTCATAGATAGAACACATGCTGAGTGCCATCTGTTGTCCTGTATATAATACAGTTGTGACTTGTATATGATATATAGCCTGACTGCCTTAGTGTGACATATAGCCTGACTGCCTTAGTGTGACATATAGCCTGACTGCCTTAGTGTGACATATAGCCTGACTGCCTTAGTGTGACATATAGCCTGACTGCCTTAGTGTGACATATAGCCTGACTGCCTTAGTGTGACATATAGCCTGACTGCCTTAGTGTGACATATAGCCTGACTGCCTTAGTGTGACATATAGCCTGACTGCCTTAGTGTGACATATAGCCTGACTGCCTTAGCCTGACTGTGTGACATATAGCCTGACTGCCTTAGTGTGACATATAGCCTGACTGCCTTAGTGTGACATATAGCCTGACTGCCTTAGTGTGACATATAGCCTGACTGCCTTAGTGTGACATATAGCCTGACTGCCTTAGTGTGACATATAGCCTGACTGCCTTAGTGTGACATATAGCCTGACTGCCTTAGTGTGACATACTGCCTTAGTGTGACTGCCTTAGTGTGACATATACTGACTGCCTTAGTGTGACATATAGCCTGACTGCCTTAGTGTGACATATAGCCTGACTGCCTTAGTGTGACATATAGCCTGACTGCCTTAGTGTGACATATAGCCTGACTGCCTTAGTGTGACATATAGCCTGACTGCCTTAGTGTGACATATAGCCTGGACTGCCTTAGTGTGACATATACCTGACTGCCTTAGTGTGACATATACCTGACTGCCTTAGTGTGACATATAGCCTGACTGCCTTAGTGTGACATATACCTGACTGCCTTAGTGTGACATATACCTGACTGCCTTAGTGTGACATATACCTGACTGCCTTAGTTTGACATATATACCTGAATGCCTTAGTGTGACATATACCTGACTGCCTTAGTGTGACATGTACCTGACTGCCTCAGTGTGACATATATACCCGACTTCCTTAGTGTGACATATATATGATATAGCCTGACTGCCTTACTGTGACATATAGCCTGACTGCCTTAGTGTGACATATGGCCTGACTGCCTTAGCGTGACATATAGCCTGACTGCCTTAGTGTGATATATATATGATATAGCCATCCTTAGTGTGACATATACCTGACTGCCTTAGTGTGACATATATATGATATAGCCTGACTGCCTTAGTGTGATATATATATGATATAGCCTGACTGCCTTAGTGACATATAGCCTGACTGCCTTAGTGTGACATATACCTGGCTGCCTGACTGCTTTAGTGTGACATATATACCTGACTGCCTTACTGTGACATATAACCTGATTGCCTTAGTGTGACATATAGACTGACTGCCTTAGTGTGACATATACCTGGCTGCCTGACTGCTTTAGTGTGACATATGCCTGACTGCTTTAGTGTGACATATGCCTGACTGCCTTAGTGTGACATATAGCCTGACTGCCTTAGTGTGACATATAGCCTGACTGCCTTACTGTGACATATATCCTGACTGCCTTAGTGTGACATATAGCCTGACTGCCTTACTGTGACATATAGCCTGACTGCCTTAGTGTGACATATATCCTGACTGCCTTAGTGTGACATATAGCCTGACTGCCTTAGTGTGACTGGTTTCAGGAGGTAGAACAGGAGCGGCTGGAGAAGGAAGAGGCTGCAGCTGCAGCAGCAAACAAAGCTGTCAGCTTCTCCATCAAGACTCGCACAAAGGAGCCAGAAAACGTCACACAGCTGAAGAAACCTCTCTTCGACGAATGAAGCGAGGAAACACGCAGCAGTGACGATGAGAATGAAGGCGAAACATTAGGTGAGTGAAAGGACTTCAGATAAACTTATCATTATCATGCTGGGGTCTGTCACCTGTGACAGTGGTGTGTATGTTGAGCACTTGTTCCTTCATTACACTAATGGATAGGTAGCCTAGTGGTTAAAGCGTTTGCATATGATGCCAAAGATGTGAGTTTGATGCCCCACATAGGTACAATGGGTGAAACTCACTCACTTACACACATGAATACATACTTCAGTGCATCTGACTCTGCCAGTCTCTTCATGATTTTGATTGATGTATGGTGTATCCATGGACACACGTTCAGTTAAGAAGAGCAGCCACACATACTTGCCAATTATACTAGTATCCAACTATTGTATCCTGATTCTAGTGTAGTTATCGCTTTAGGGTGGTGTGATGGCCTAGTGGTTAAAGCATTCGCTTGTCACGCCGAAGATCCGGGTTCGATTCACCACATGGGTGTAATATGTGAAGCCCATTTCTGGTGTCCCCTGCCATGACATTGCTGGAATATTGCTAAAAGCGGCGTAAAACCATGCTCACTCACTCACTCACTCATTGCTTCAGAAGCAATGGCAAGTTCTCCTGCATGTAATTACACAGTCAACTAATTCCCATTTCCAGGAGAATCTGACAGTCAGAAAGAGCGAACAACTGATATCACATCGAGTTCTCCACCTGTGTCAGACTCAGGTCAGGTGTCAGAGGTCATTCTTGAGGTGAAGCAAGAAGTGAGGTCAGACATTCCTCTCGAAGTCTTGGAGAAAAAAATGGGTGAGTTCCAGTTCACTCCATGAATTGGTTTTCTTGCACAACATTTCTATACCTATAGGTTTGGTGTGTTGGGTATTACTGTTATACCAGCAGTTCACTCTATGAATCAGTTTTCTTACGAAGTTACGTTTCTATACCTTATAGGTTTGGGGTGAATAAATGCATAATATTCTAAATTATATCCTCTGGGGTCCCATCTGAACAGGACCTAGTTCACTCTGTTTACATTAACATTCCATATTGATTAAGTAAGAGTTTCCATCCATTGGGAGTTATTTCAGGATTAAACAATTCCATCAGTCATTGTCTGATCTAGTTTTTATTTACACATTTGAACTGTACAAATGTAGGTTTTCACAATATGTATTGCAATACAGCTCTCAGTAAAGCATTAGATCACTAACATGTTCAATGCTCATTTGATCTATCCAGAGTGCCTATTGAAGTCAAAGTGCAAACAAAGTCTTTACAATGAACAACTATCACATTAGGATTGGGTAGCCAGCTGATGTGGCAATGTTTCTTTCTGACTTAACATTGATTTGCTATGATATGATTTTTCACTTAAATCTAATTCAGGCTTTTCAACAGTTACTTCATAACAGTGTTAACAGTACTTTATATATTCATGTAGTTTGCCTGCAACAATTTTGAAAATTTACCAGAAAATGGTAATATGATTTTGAAATTGGTGCTTTATGTCATTCTAGATACAGTTTGATCCTACATGTGAGATCCAGTTTTAAGACAGATATATTATCATGTAGAACAATACCATGGATGTCAGCTTCTGTAGTTTTGATATACAATATTTCGGATGATGAAGGAGGTGCCCCAGGTATAGCTCCAGATATCCTCAAACATTTTGTGTGTAGAATAAAGAACTTGGTATCCATGATATTCCATGTCATCAGCTTCTACATACCCACAAATACGATGTATAGATATCAGATATAAGTGCCGTGTGTGTTACGTCTTCAGCTGAAGAACGTTTGAAGGACCGCCTGGCAAACGCAGCACGGGAGAAACTGGCGCAAGCAAGCAAGGAGAAGCAGGTTCAGGCAGAACGCAAAAGGAAAGCAGCCATGTTTATCAATCTTCTCAAGATCAAACCTACCTCAGCTGACGAGTCTTCCAGGGATGGTGCTCAGGAATCATGTAAGAGAAAAGCACTGCAGGTGCTTGGACATGTACTCTGTATGGTTCACTGATTAGTATACTTGTAAGAATCCGGGTGAAAATCTATCTTCAGCAACCCATTCTTGTCAAAAGAGTTGACTAATGGGATCGGGTGACTTGGTTGACACGTCGTGTAGCTGGAATATTAAACACCAAACAAAACATTTATCAGTAACTTTTGTTATTCCCCGCAACGCGTTTTGCTGGGGGTATTAAAATGGACTCCGTCCGTGCACATTTGTCTTTTCCGGAGCAGAACTCTAAAACCGTTCAATATTTCTTCACCACACTTGGCACATAGATAGATCTGGTGGTGTACTGGTGCCTTTTGGTAGTTTCGGAATTCTGAATAAAATATTTTTGGCGTTTCCATGGCAACATGTTTGACTTAGCCTGAAATTGGTGGTAGTGCTCTTTTCCGGAGCTGAACTCTAAAACCGTTCACTATTTCTTCACCAAACTTGGCACATACATAGATCTGGTGGTGTACTGGTGCCTTTTGGTAGTTTTGGATTTCTGAATAAAATATTTTTGGCATTTCCATGGCAACAAGTTTGACATAGACTGAAATTGGTGATAGTGCTCCTTTCTGGAGCAGAAGTTTAAAAACCTTTCAATACTCTCCTTCCACTTTTCTAAATACACAACTAAATATTTGACATAATCATAACTCGTAGACATAATCATGAAGAGTATTTTGCCATTGCGGGGGATATTGATGACTTTGTCTTCTTGTAATTGTTGATAATGGTCAGACTAGGCTTCAGTTGGGAATTTGCTAAGTGATGTGTTTAACAACCAAAAACAATGAGGTTTGAGAACTCAGCTCAGTATAGGTGGATTCAGCAATGCACACACTTGTACACAATTATTTATTACACATTCCTGAAAAGTTCAAGAAAGAGGTTTGACTGACATGTTTTCTGATTTCCTGTGTGACAATAGATGTTGTTGATGTAAATGCTGCAGATTCTACGTCGCCCCGAGGGACTCCCAGCAGCAGTCGTCCATCTACCCCAGGGTTTGGATCTAGTCATGAACGGTCAGTCCCAACGGACGACCGGTTAGAACATGACAGGTATGACAGCTACAGGAGGGGCTGGCCCAGGAGGTCAAGGTCAAGGTCACCTCATCCAGTGTACAGATCACGTTCAAGGTCACCTCGGGGGTCGTCACAGGTCAAGGTCAAGGTCTCCAGTTTACCAGTGGCGACGACGACGCTCACCCACTCCACCAAGTGCTTTCAGTGTAATTAGAAGGTATATACCAGTGTCCTTATGGTTTAGTCAATGGCTGCAAAATACTTGGCCAGTATTTCCATGCTCTCTTCAAACATTCTTCACAGTTAACAGTTAAATCATATTTGTTTGAAACTGAATAACATGTGCCCTCACAGACCGAAGTAGCATACTCATAGTCTTGTACAAGTCAGGATTTATGACTTTCTTTTGCTGGCAGAATTTAAAGTTGGATCAACACTGATAAATGCTGTGAGGACCACTTATGTGCTTTACTTGTTTCAAGGTCACCAGTTAGAAGACCATCTCCCAGGTTGGGCAGTGGCAGGAGAAAATCGCGGTCCAGGTCACCACGCAGAGTTATTCCATTAGTTAGACCAGGAAGACGCTCAAGGTCACCGAAGAAAAGCAAATCCCCAACAAAGAAGAGATCTAGGTCACGGGACAGGAAGAGGAAGTCAAGGTCACCATCAAGAAACAAGAAGAGGTCAAGGTCAAAGTCTCCCAGCTCAAAACACAAAAAGAACAAAAAGTCTGATGCAAGGTGAGGAGAAAAAGCATAATGAAAGTTTCACAATTGGGTCCAAATCTGATACATGGTCAATGTTACAATTTTAAGTATACTACTCAAAATTGTTTAAGATCACCTGATATGTTTCCATCGTGGCCATTGCAGATAACTATAGAGAACAACCAAATATTTCTAACTTCATTAAAGGGAATGATTACCATAGACTGATGTTTTAGTATTTCATTCTCAACTCTATGGAAGTATTCACAGGATACCTAATTGGTTAAAAATCCCGACATGTTTCTGGCAGTAAAGATTTCACTGTGTCACTGTAGAATGTGTGTTGCTTTTTCACAGATCACCCAAAAAGAAGAAAAAAGACAAGGATAAAGAAAAGAGTAAAGACAAACGTAAAGACAAAAGTCGGGATAAGGTGAAGGACAAGGAAAAGCACAGAAATAAGGACAAAAGCGGAAAACATTCAACAGAAGCAGAGAGTTCGAGTAAGACCGAAACAAAAAATGTTGAAGAAAGCAAAGGCTCTGAATCCGAACATGAGCTTGAGAAATCCGATGGCAGAGATAGTTCCTCAGACAGTGAAGATGAGGTGCCACCTGCAGTGCCAAGACCTCAGGAAATAGATGCAGGTATTGAGATAATAGAGATTGATGACAATGATGACCCTATTGATGACATCCCTCAGCCTCCTGGACCACCGCCATCACTGCCGCCTCTGCCGCTGGACGACGAGAGGACGCAATCGTAGGTTCTTGTTGCTCTTCAAACTAATACATTATTATGCCACAGTCTTGTCATTTTGTTTGTTTTTTATGACGTATTACTTTGTGCCTGTTGAAGTTAAATTGAAGTCAAATTAAATTGAAACGCTAAATATTTTTCATTTAATTTAGAATAGAATTGGATGATGATAAACAAAGTACATATGCAGTGTAAAGACAGTGTTATTTAGTATCTGTACATGTGTACCTGTTTCCTGCTGAGAACACTTTGTCCTAAAACAGGTATACTGTGTGGCAGAAACTGTTCAGTGCATTTTTCAGTTTTCGTTTCAAGATAGGCTTTTTGTTGACACACGAAAGCATGATACGCATTGTGTTATCTGTTTGGCAAAATGTTGTTCCACAGACCACGACTGCCATCAGAAAGTGACTTGACCGAGACTACCAGTGGTAGAGACTCCCCTGCAGTGGATCCATCTAAACCACCCAGAGAAGTGTCCAAGGTGAGTTCCTTGATTCAGGTAAAGTGGTCCCAAGTAGATCTCCAGCACCCCATGCTTGTCTCCCCTATTGGCAGCCAGAAACAAGTACATCCTCTGTACCCTAGGGGTGGGCGATAATACAGGTTAACCAGTATATTGCAATTCCAACTTCACAAAACGACATTTGCATGACTGTTAAACCATATGATTAAAAAAAAATAGATTGGTACTGACACTCATTGTAAGGATAAACAAATCAAAATGGCGGACGCCGCTGCAGACGCTTTTTCTGGAGTTCCAAACTTCAGAGCGAAGTGTTCAATTTGGAAACATTTTCAATTGATCTCTTGTACAATTACATCCGAGTCCTGAAAGTGGCCAATGGCATTGTTTCAAAAGAACAGTAATTTCCTTACCTTAAACCATGTATTACACTTTCACAATATATTGCAATACATATTGCAACACGCAAACACATATCACAATATATAGCAATACGAAAATTTTGGCAATATCCAACCCTACTGTACCCCATGCTTGTCTCCCCAATTAGCAGACAAAAGCGAGTACATACTCTGTACCCCAGGTCCGTCGCCATAGAGCTGGAATATTGCTGAGTGTGGCGTCAAATAACTCACTAACTCACTCTATACCCCATACTTGTCTCCCCTGTCAGCAGACACAAACAAGTACATCCCCTGTACCCCATGCTTGTCTCCGGCCCTTGTCTCTGGCCCTTGTCTCCCATGCTTTAAGTATTAAGAATCTTTGAGCATTTCTCATATTGACAGTTATGGACATGAGGAGGAACACTTTTCCTGGATAGACAACTTCTTTATAGCAACAGATGCGACGTTTCGGTGTAGATCCTAACACTGTTTATCAAGCAAGTTATCTATTGAAACAAAGAAGTTGTCCATAGTGTTCCGCTTCATCATACCAGCTTCTAAATGCCACTCACACAAGTTATGGACATGTTTTCCCCAAACTCTGAATGTATCAAGAGCACATCCCTAACACTATATATCTTGAATCTCTTTCCAGCATCTTCTGTCCCGTGTCAGAGCTCTGCTGAAGGCGTCCCGAGATGAGATATTGAAAGAAGGTGATGGTGTCAATGACGACCCTTGATGAAGGCTTCACGTAGACGCTGCTGGCTCAGTGTCACAAGTAATAAGTCATTGCAACTTCGAAATCAGGGTTTCCTCACTCCTTCAAATTGCCTGGGCTGTGAGTCACTGACTGTGCTTGAACTGTCTCAAAGCCCAACAGTTACAGGTTTCTTGAACTGTCGTGAATCAACTCCCTGATTGGGGATGTCGTGGTTTCCACAGGTAGACCTTTGTTTTCGCTGACTTGAAGATGTTTATCCAGGTTTTGAAAATAAAGATAGAATTAGACTCTTTTATGATTATTTGAATTTGTAAAGTATATTATTAATATTTTGTAGAAAAAGTGAAACATCAAATTGTATATTTTCATTAGGTATTTTTGTTAAGTGTCACATGAAAGATGTAATTGTATTGGTTTTACATGGGAACAAAGTCTCACACTGCATGGATTACTGGGGAAGTTTTGTCTGGTATTTTTCTGTTGTGGTTCCATCTCATGTTTTCAGGTGTAAATGTACTATAACTTTACATACCTTCCTGATGTGGCTGATGGGACAGTTCATAAAGCCACACAAGACGGAACATCACACTTGTGATCTGTAGTTTAGAATCATCCCAGTGTCAACTAGGGATAGTGCTTATTGAAACTGGGGCAAGTGGATTGTCATATAGTCATTGAAGGAGGCCAAGTGGCTTGTCATATAGTCATTGAAGGAGGCCATACTTCATATATAGTCAGGTGTCCGATCAGGTCGATTCAGTCAGGGTTCAACACAGGGCTCGAAAGTAAGAGCAGTCTGTAAGATAGACATGGTGCAATTATTATTTCCTGCAATATCAAACAAATCACTGTACTTGGGCATTTCCTGACAACATTCTTCGCATAAAGGATATTTTACATGAAATTGAAATTCCGCAGCAGCCAACAAGCTTTGAATGAGATAGTTTCAAATACGAAGGAAACATGTTGAAAATTCAGAAATACCTCTATTACCGTAATAAACCCTATTTCTTTGGGAAAATATTTGAAATATTCCCAAATGACCATTAATACAGTGCATAATATTACTACTGTCTAAATTAAGAAACATATTTGCAGAAAAATGGCTCTTATATTTGGACTCAGTATGCAGATAGAAATTGACAATTGTACATTGAAAAAAAAACTACATTCATAAATAAGTAAATTTCCCCACTGACACATCTGCCTGAAACCCAGATGGTTTAGTTATTTTAGCCTTAAGACATAACTCAGGGGGCACGTGTGAGGTTTTCCACATGTCCAGTTATGTGTGTGGTCGATATTCCCAGTGGGGTGGTAGATATTCCTGAATGTGTGGTACATATTCCCAGTGGTGTGGTACATATTCCCAGATGTGTGGTACATATTCCCCATGGTGCAATAGATATTCCCAGATGTGTGGTACATATTCCCAGTTGTGTGATAGATATTCCCGGATGTGTGATAGATATTGTGTGGTACATATTCCCATGGTGGTCCCCATGGTGTGATATAGATATGATAGATATTCCCAGATGTGTGGTACATATTCCCCATGGTGTGATAGATATTCCCGGATGTGTGGTACATATTCCCCAGTTGTGTGATAGATATTCCCAGATGTGTGGTACATATTCCCAGTTGTGTGATAGATATTCCCGGATGTGTGGTACATATTCCCCATGGTGTGATAGATATTCCCGGATGTGTGGTACATATTCCCCATGGTGTGATAGATATTCCCTGGATGTGTGGTACATATTCCCCATGGTGTACATATTCCCAATGGTGTGATAGATATTGCTGGATGTGTGATAGATATATTGGTACATATTCCAAGTTGTGTGATAGATATTCCTGGATGTGTGGTACATATTCCCATGGTGTGATAGACATTCCCGGATGTGTGGTACATATTCCCCATGGTGTGATAGATATTCCCGGATGTGTGGTACATATTCCCCATGGTGTGATAGATATTCCCAGATGTGTGGTACATATTCCCAATGGTGTGATAGATATTCCCAGATGTTTGGTAGATGTGTGTGCGTGTGTGCACTGATACTGTTGTCATATCTACAAGTGTGGGTATATTTTGCAGCAGGGTTGAAAGACAGTGTGACTGGTAATTCATGGAATTTCCTAGATCTTTCCATCTGCAGACCGTCAGTAATGATTTGGCTACGAGATGTGATATGGAAGGTGCGATTGTGTAGGGAAAATCAGATATGGAGAATAAAGTGTGTGTGCTACCATGACAACTGATGCATTGGGGTTCAGGGTTCAAACAGCAGTACTTACTCTCACTACAACACTGTCTCCAGTTGTGTTTGTCACAATCCTCAGTCAAGCTGTGATCAGACCCTCTGTGTTGTTACTAAAACTGTAGTGAAATATTGCTGACTGATGGTAGCTCAGCTCTGGGAATTAATTGTCTTGAGTTTTAGGCACATGGGGCTGAGTGTAAATTGTATATACATACTTCCTCCACACCTTCAGGAAAGCCAGTGAAATGGAGAGGTTATTTGTACATAGTTGTATGTAGCTAGTGCTCAGGCCAGTGTACAGGCTGTAGGCTTGTTGTGAATCATGTACTGTGCGTTGTACCAGTTGACAGGTGCTTGTTGTGACAGGGGGACCTCCTGGTCATGCCTGTCTCAGATACCACAATATGATGGCATGATGTTTCACAAAACACATGATTATTGACAGAGATAATGGTATTTATTGACATTCTAATTTGGACTCTGAAGTCTGTTCAGTCAACAATCTTTTTTAGATGTTTGATTGGCATTTTAGAAGATGCTATTTGATGAACATAAAGTCTTTCTGGGTTTCATCGTCTTTTTAAGAAGATGAAACCCAGAAAAGTCTCTATGTTCAACATTCTTTTTGGTGTTTGAAATGGGTGCTGGGGTTCTTGATGTTAGTGACAGTACTCAATGAAGCTCAGGTCCGAAAATCTTAAACATTTACATTACAAATATTACAAGGATACCCTGGTCTTCATACCTAATTTCTTATATTGCTGTACACAGTGTGTGTTTAATAAGGTCTTTATATCAACAAAAGTCAGGGAGGGATTTGTCAGCTTCAGTGTTTGTGTGTAATCTGAACATCCCATGCCAGATGTGACCCAAGTTCAGTGTCCTTCTGTATATATTGGTGCATAATCCTGTTTCGTTTTGTACTACTATTAAGGAGTGAGTTTAGTTTTACGCTGCACTCAGCAATATTCAAGCCATATGGCGGCGGTCTGTAAATAATTAAGACTGGACCAGACAATCCAGTGATCAACAGCATGAGCATCGATCTAAGGAACTGGGATACGATGACATGTGTTAACCAAGTCAGTGAGCCTGACCTTCCGATCCCGTTAGTCGCCTCTGACAACAAGCTTGGGTTACTGAAGATCAATTCTAACCCGGATCTTCACGGGTCCTACTGTAAAGGACACCCTGCTCTTTCATATTACTGTAGTTAATGCATCTTGGCATGACTGGTAGACTATAGCAGTGGGAAAGAAACAATTGTCCTATTTATGTTTAATAGTATATGAAGTATCATTCCCAGTATTTTATTTGAGTTACTGAAACCAACTCTCTCAAGGGAGTGTGTGCCCATACAATAACATGTAAGTACACTGAAATATTGTTTGTTTGATGTACCACTACAATGATATCACCTGCATTGACAAATTGCTGGATTAATGAATCATGAAGGTGAAAATGTACTGTCAACTTCTGTCATGTGAGGAACACGAGGGACATCACCTGAAGATTGAGTAAGAACATGCTTGGAAACATAGTCCGTCGTATGACAAAGGTTGACATCCATAAATTTGTGTATATCACCTCTAAGTGTCATTCAAAGACCTTAATGAATCATGGTTAATAATGTTCCATTGTATATATGAAGACAAGAAGATGGTCCTACAGATGGGTTGTCCAGATTTATGGTTTCCCTGTGTTAGTTTGCTGTGTTGTGAGAATACCTCCACAAGGCAGGGTACTGTATATAACAAATACTGGGTCACATTGACCCGTGAATAAATCATTTTCATATAATACTACCCTTGCTTGTCTTGTTTTTGTGTAGTAATAGTGAGAGAGCATGTTTTTAGAGGTATTCCAGCAGTACCTCGGCATGAGGTAGGGGCAGGGAGGATAACCCCTAGAAATGGCTTAACACATTGATTTTACCCATATGGGGAAGGAAAGCCAGCTCTCGGGCATGACATGTAAACTCCAAGATGTCTTGTTTTTCAATAACAAAAGTGAGTTATGTTTTTATCCCCCTCCGCACGTTTAGCGCTAAGCGAGGAATATAGTACGTACGAATTGGAAAATCTTAAGAACCGTTGACTAGATTCTTTCCATACTTGGTACCTAGGTTCATCACAGTATAAGAAAGGTCCAAGTCAGGTTTGGTGACCTTGACCTTTATTTCAAGGTCACAGAGACACTTTGAAGATTTCAGCATGTTAAATTGCATGTTAAGATAGTCAGCAAGATATCGCAAAAAATAATCACTGGACTTTCTTCATATTTGACACCAAGCTGCATCTAGGGAAGGCCCCAGGGGCCAGTCAGTTCTGGTGACCTTCACATGATTTTCAGGGTCACAACGACACTTTGAAGATTTCAGCATGTTAACCTGAATTGTCAGCAACATATTTCAAGAACAGTTCACTGGATTTTCTTCATAGACTTTCAAGACTTCCCGTGAATGTTTTTCAATAAGCAATTTCTTTAGGACTATTTTGGCATATTTCATACACTATGACATTCATGTCAATGTCAAAGTCAGTCTTGAAAATATGTGTGTGTTTGAACAACTAAAGAGCAAGATATCAAGAGAAGTTAACTGGTCATGTTTTTGTTGACATTTAACTTCATCTTAAACTTTCATTACTTTATAAGTTTGATTTGATAATTTGTGGAGGGGAATTATGCCACCTTAGTGACAATGCTTGTTCACTGCTTTTTTGGCAATAACCGTTAATCATGTTCATATTTAGAATTTAAAAGATACTAGTAGATTAATTGAACCAGGGTCCTGATCCAGAAAGTGTTCATAATGTTACGACCTGTCGTAACTCTATAGTTTATCATAGGCTTACGAATGTCGTAGCTCTTTGTGGATCAGGACGTTTTGTGGATCAGGACTCTGATATATACATCTATCCGAGAGTGACAGTATTTTGCATTACACTTGGCTTATACAGATTGACGTGCCAAAGACTCTTACACACCTCTCTGCACCACATCAACTTTCATCAAAATAG